TCATGATCTTTCAGCACTGTTACCTTGTTTCTGGGACCCAGGTTATGACGTCACTCCGGCCCCCAAAAAACTAAACTGCGTGTGACGGAGCGGTGCTGGAAGAGCACAAGGATTACACAAGCCCCACGCTGGACCCCAGGGAAAGGATCCACTCCCTCTCTGCCAAAGGTTGGGAGGCTGGGTGGACTTAAATAAAAAATAAATAATTTGTGAGTGTGTTTGAGAGAATGTATATGTATCTGTCAGTGTGTGTCAAATTAGTGAGTGTTTGTGTGTCAGTTTCCTCGTGTGAAAATGTATGTGTCTCATTCTGTGTCAAATCAGTGAGTCTGTCTGTGAGTGTTCTCTGTGTGTAAAGGTATGTGTCAGTTTCCTCTGTGTGAAATGGTCTGTGTGTGTGCCAAAGTCATCTGTGTATAAATGTGTGTGTATGCTAGTGTCCTATGCGTATATCTACTATGTGTGTATTATGTTTATTTTGTGACTGTTATACTTCGGATTTATAATTCATTCAATTCTCCTTGCATACACAAAGCTCACATGATATATTCATATTTATTTATTACTTTAAAAATATTATTCAAGCTGGTTTTCCAATATGGGATTAACTTAAATATCAGTGTCTACATGTTTCATTTAAATCAGTAGAAATAACTCTGGAGGCAGAGGTACATAGGAATTTGTTTTAGATCTGCAGGGGTACTTCCCCACAAAAATGGTTGAGAAATACCGCTCTGTCCTATAGCAAACAATGTACATGATTTATTTATTTTAAAATGTTTTACAGAAAAAGAACGGCGCACACTCTCAAGTAATGCAAAATTATATTTTTATTATTAGTATTTTACTTAATGAATATTAACAGCTATCTGATAAAGAAATAAAAAAAAAAACACCTTTGTTTTAATCAGAAAGAATAACAAATACCATTAGTTTTGCTTGGTATGTTGAAAACTTGCCACAATTCACTGATTAGTGAATAGTTCCCTGTCTTTTACATGTGGGGTAACTTACTAATATAAATTGGTTCAGACAAATAAGATATAAACAGTCAACGTGTAAATCTAGCCATTATGGCTGTGTTTGCAATTGTAAATAGTGCTCGATTCTAAATTTAATCCGAGAAGAAAATGCAAACACATTATGGTTCTTTGATGTGTTGTATCTTGCTGAGCACAATCATAGTCTTTATTTATGGACACACCGCCCCCTTCTCTGTAAAGAGTGCTCTCGGCGACGATGGACAGACAAGGTTAAAGTGATGACATATGTGGTTCCTGGTTAGATTGAAAGATTGTGTACTTGTTTCCTCAAGTCTTGTTTTTCAGAGTGCTGATTGTATGAATAAAATAATCAGAAATGGAAATGGTGGTGGGGGTAGACAGAGGTTTGCAGTGATTGTGACATCTGACGTAACCACATAGCTCTGAAATCTACTTCCATCTCTGGTACTTGACTGAAAAGAGTGTTGCGTGTTTCGAATGATGGTTTAAAGTAGTTTTGTGTCCACCGAGAATAGAGCTTCAGAAAATTATTAATGTCTGCTGTAAGACAGGAAGTAGGTTGTACCACAGACACATAGTTAGCAGTGCTTGAGAACATATTAAAATATTACCATCAACGGATATTGGTTGGGTATGAGCCATCCAACACCGTAAAGGGGAGAGTTTCACCTTAATTCAGAATGGAATTGACAAACAAACCATTAGCCTTGAAAATTTTACATTTTCTAAGCATTAGAAAAGACAATAACCCACAGGATTACAGACTGAATATGAAAACGGGGGATTTACTCCTCCCTCTGGGTGGGGGAGACAGAATGAAGAAGAGTGGCTTCTGATTTTTCAAACACCATAGTAATTTGTTCTGCTTATTGCAAACATTTATTGGGGTGATAGTTGCCAACACTTGGAAAGCAGAAGTGACTATTGTACGAATATCATAATCCGTGCCAGAGAGCGTTATGCAAAAGGAGCATCTTCAAAATGTTAAAGATATATGTTAGTGCTTGATCTCTGTATCTCACATAGCCGTGAAGAAGTGGTAAAAGATGGACACAGTTGTGCTCAAAAGTTTGCATATCCTTGGAGAATTGGTAATATATGTACCATTTTTAAAGAAAGTGAGTGAGCAGGCAAAACACATTTTATTTCTTATAGGATTCATATTCAACTGTAGGTTAACAGAATGGCACAATCATAAAACGAAACATGGCAACAAAGAAAAAAATGAAATGACCCCTGTCCAAATGTCTGCATACCCTTAGTTCTTAAAGGGACTCTCCAGTGCCAGGAAAACAAACCGTTTTCCTGGCAATGCAGGTCCCCTCGCCCTCCCACTCCAAGTTGCTGAAGGGGTTAAAACCCCTTCAATGACTTACCTGTATCCAGAGCCAATGTCCCTCGGCGCTGGTTCAGGGTCCGCCCGCGCTCCTCCCCCACCATCACCCGGCGGGGGAGACCTATTGCGCATGCACGGCCTGCGGTGGTGGGAAACCTAATGCGCATGCGCGGCAATGCCGCGCACGTGCATTACACCTCCCCATAGGAAAGCATTGTGCAGTTTATGAAAACTGCAATATTTACAGTTGCAGGGTTAAGGGTAGTGGGAATTGGCACCCAGACCACTCCAATGGGCAGAAGTGGTCTGGGTGCCTGGAGTGTCCCTTTAATAGTGTATTGCCCCATTTAGCATAAATGACAGTGTGCAGTCTTTTGTAATAGTTGTCTATGAGGCCCCTAATTCTTGCAGGTGGTATAGCTGCCCATTCATCTAGGCAAAATACCTTCTGGTCATGCAAAGTCTTTGGTCGTCTTGCATGAACCGCACGTTCGAGATCTCCCCAGAGTGGCTCAATGATATTAAGGTCAAGAGACTGTGATGGCCACTCCAGAACCTTCACCTTTTTCTGTTGTAACCACTGGAGGGTCAACTTGGCCTTGTGGTTATGGTCATTGTCAAGCTGGAAAATCCAAGAGTGTCCCATGCACAGCCTTCATGCAGAAGAATGCAAATTGTCTGCCAGTATTTTCTGATAACATGCTGCATTCAATTTTCACAAGATTCACCGTGCCTTTAGAGCTCACATCCCCCAAAACATCAGTGAGCCACCACCATGCTTCACAGTGGGGATGGTATTCTTTTCACTATAGACCTTGTTGACCCCTCTCCAAACATAGCGCTTATGGTTGTGACCATAAAGCTCTATTTTGACCTCGTCACTCCAAATTACAGTGTGCCATAAGCTGTGGGGAATGTCAAGGTGTTATCGGTATATTGTAACCAGGCTTTTTTGTGGCATTGGCGCAGTAAAGGCTTTTTTCTGGCAACTCAGCCATGCAGCTCATTTTTGCTCAAGTATCGCCGTATTGTGCTCTCTGAAACAACCACACCGATTTTTCCAGAGCAGCCGGTATTTCTCCTGAGGTTAAATGTGTGTTTTTCTTTGTATCCCGAACAATTCTTCTGGCAGTTCTGGCTTAAACTTTTCTTGGTCTTCCTGATCTTGGCTTTGTATCAAGAGATCACAGAATTTTCCACTTCTTAATAATTGATTGAACGGTATAGACTGGCATTTTTAAATCCTTTTCCATCTTTATAAAGTTCCATTACCTTGTTATGCAGGTCTTTGACAGTTCTTTTCTGCTCTCCAAGGCTCAGTATCTAGCCTGCTCAGTGCATCCACATGAGAGCTAACAAACTCATTGACTATTTATACACCGACACTAATTGCAATTTAAAAAGCCACAGGTGTGGGAACCTGTGTGTGTCACCTTCTGTATCTGTAATAAGGCCAAACATTCAAGGGTATGTAAACTTTTGATCAGGACCATTTAGGTGATTTCTGTTATCACTATGATTTAAAAAGGAGCCAAACAAATATGTGATAATAAATGGTTTCATATGATCACTATCCTTCAATAAAATACATTTTGTTTTGCATGATCAGTCATATTTTCAAAATCGTTGCCAAAATTTCTCAATTTCTGCCAGGGTATGCAAACTTTTGAGCAAAACTGTAAGTTTTAAGTGGATAACCAGTCCTTTGCACTTTACTCTCTACCTATGTCTACTACTGGATGGGTCCCCCATTTGTCTTTGAAACAGTTTGTAATTTTAACAAGCTGCCACCATAGTGTCACTCAAGCAGAGCTGTGAAAATGTGCTTCTAAGATGTTAAAAAAATGAAAATATTAAAGAGAGTCTGGTGAGTTGCCACCTGAGCATCTGTGCTCCATTCCAAAACTTAAGATTTCAGACTAAAGACTCTGTGCCAAGTTTGATTCCATTTGTACCTCATTCACTCAGGCAAGCATAGTTGATATAATCTTGAATTACGCATATGAAAGTGCAAAGACACAACACAGTGTGAAGGGCAACTAACAGAGAAAGAATGAAATATTCTGGGAAATAATTTTGGTATCTACAGATATCACTAGGTGTGAAACATCACTCCATGTATTTCAATGACCAGGCTTAGCTTCTTTTCTCAGTGGTATTGCAGTAAATACATTATATTACAGACATGGACTGTAGTAGACGTGTAAAATTAACAAGGAGGTCTTTTGATATGACCTTTAAAAAAAAAGTGTTTTTTTTGTTTGTTTGTTTACTGTTCCTTTAATGAATGAGGAGTATAACCTCTAGATGCCTGTTATACGCACTAGAAAGCTGCGTTACCCACAGTCTAAAATGCCAGCTGCTACTTCGAGTTTCAATGTCAGTGAATGTAAAAGTGGTGCTGGTGTAAGCAAAAGCTTATATGGTGCTGAGTAAGTAATCTCAAAGCAGAGTAAAATATAATAAAGTGATGATATTGCTACCTTTTGCTCTGGGATGCAAACAACCGAAAGACTGAATGGCATAGCTTTTTTTCCCACAGATTTTTCAGGCCAATATTTTAATTGGCAAATAATTGCAAATTCATACATTTTAAAGCATGAATTACAAAATGCAAGGTAATGAAAAACCACATGAAATAAAAAGACTGTGTACAAATATAAAATTGCATACCATTTGGTTTTATTATTTTTGTGACACATACAGCAAAACTGTAACAAGAAAAAAAAAATCAACAAAATTTAAATATCCGCACAATATATTTTATTTATACACCATTCAGCACACAGACCTTTTAGCTTGCCAGATCTAAAATATAAAATATTCTATGAACTTTCAAATTAAAAAAGTGAATAATTTAATAAGTTAACAAGTAAAACCTTTGTGTTTTATTTACAAGTTTTTTTTTTAATTCACTGATTTAATAAAACAAATAACAAAATAAATCCTTATATTAATTGTTATAATGATCATATATATGTCTCACTTTATATATGGATATGTACATAAACATGATACCTGAGGTTCTAAATAAAACTCTGTGACCTTTCCTTAACTTTGTACCCCATCAAGTATTATGACTGTAAACAAATTAGCAATTAGTTTGGTCCTTGTTAATGGAATTCGTTAGCACATCACTTTAGTTCTTTATTGCTTGAATTTGATCTGTTGGTAGCAATAAAATGGCATTAGTATAAACGAAAACTTTATTTTACCTGTTTCACAATGTAAAACTTTCAATAACATGTTTTAAAATGGCATTATTGGTTCGGATGTTACAAAATACATACAAACTTTGGCTATTTTAGGTTAAGAGAAGAGTCCTATATAAACAAGAAATAAACAGAAAATCAGATACCCAAGAGAAAAATTATTTGGGCCTGTACACCAGTTTAGACACTCTAGTTATGTCTAGAGTCCTTAACCCTGTAGGAAATGTCAAGAATAAAAAAAAGAACACACAAATAGTGGGCGAGTGTGACCTGGAAAGGTGTAAATAGTATCTTGGAATAAATAAAGTCACGATCGACTCAGAGTAAACCGTAAATTTAATCAGACGCAAATGTCTCAAGTGCAAATGTGAAAAATATTAGTCGTGTAAGGTTACTCCTCTACCTTCTAAAATAAAGGTAACTTCTTGGATCATTCAAAAAGGAGTCCAAGATAGATTACCAGGGAGAGAGGCTTTTGATTATATCAGTCTTGCTGTCTTACTACTTAGACATCTATTATATCATTATCCTATACCAGTCTCTCGATACATATGGACACTCAGATTTCCTACTGAGCGGTGTGATGATTTTTCCTTTGTATGAACAGACAGACTAAGAATACGGATTCACTCTTAGTCAATTATCCCGGAGACATGCTGATATAGGTCTATCCTCTCATACATACCTTAACTAGATCATCCTCCTAAAGGGGTACAACTTGTGCTATAAATAAGCGTGTATGTATACTATTTTAAAGGGACACTATAGTCAACATATAAAAGCAAGAAAGACAGGTCCCCCAGCCTTCTTTCTTGCTTTTATATGAACTTGTCATAAAAAAATTAATAAAAAAAGAAATCCGAGTAAGTTTTAATAATAAAAAAAACTTACCACCGTTCCAGCGGCGAGGTCCCCGCTAGGCCACGCCCCCTTTTCCATCAAAATGATGAAATTGCAGGGCCCAATAGGACGCTTCTCCTTGAGAAGCATCATCGAGATGTGGTGCGCATGTGCGGTTTCGCGCTGCACCAATCGCATTCTTCATAGAGCGGCATTGAATGCCACCCTATGAAGAAACTCAGTGCTCAACCGCGCATGTGGGCGCAATGGGCGTTCTCGAGCTGAGCTGTCTATACCCGGCCCCCTCCTCAGCCAAACTGTGTTTGCATAGAAATATAAATATATATATAAATATAAATATATATATATATAAAGTTCAAAAAAAAGAGTCAGCACTCAAGGACTTTGAATTTGCTAGAAAAGATGCAAAAAACCTTTTAATCCAGTTGGTCAAGAGGTCAACGTTTCAGTCCATCGTCGTGGACTTTCATCAGGACATAAAATACAAAATACAATATTCAGTTTAAATAAGAAAAAGCTAACTTACCAAATCACCCCCACCTGTATGCCGGCGTGGTCTGTTCCCCATTGCGCATGCGTGTCAATCCGCTTAACTACTTCCGGTGCAATAGTGCAGCCTACCCGTCACCATAGCAACCTATAAACAGTTCGCAAAAAACGGCGATCCGTAAACACATGTGTATGCTGAAAGTGCTCAGTGCTGATTTCTCAACTTGATACTCATATCGAGCTGGCAACAAACAAAGCCAGCAAATCTATTCATATTCTCTTATTAACAGTGTATCCTCATTAATAAAGTGATATCAATTTGTTCTACTTATATAAGTGCACTTCATAATATATACTTGCAAGGTGTAATAAAAAGAAGTGAGAATTAATTTGCCTCATAAAAAAAGTGCAAGTGCTCAAATATATAAAAAAAACTAGCAGTGATGATTCCTTAAAGTGACATGTGCATATATTTACATGCTATCTAATTATTGAGTTAGTAAGTGAAAACACTATGCTACTATGGGGTTACAGTGTAATATGATACATAATCACTACCTAAATAACAAATATAATGACATATACTCTGCTGCGTAACAGTATCATTCCCAGATTTAAGAATTAGGGACAAAGTATTACTTATAAACAATTATGTCCCTATTGAACTACAAATAGATACTAAGGAGTGGAGAAAACAACCCTCCCTTAAATAGATCTAAATACCAAATATAAAAAAACGCCTGTAATTGAATCTATATAAAATTAATTGGGAATATATACTGTAAACATGTTTGCAGACAAAAAGATAAAATCAATATGATAACTTATCCAACCACTTAAATAAACGATATAAATGTAAATTTTTCGTTAAGGCCCATGGGGGCCATAGTATTCAATTCACGAATCCAAAATGTCTCTCTTTGTAACAATGCCTTAGAGCGATCTCCTCCTCTTCTAGATATTGGAATATGGTCGATGGCTATACATTTCAATGATGTCAATGGATGTTTATGTTCAAGAAAGTGACGCGCCACCGGTTTGTCCGTAATACCATCTCTGATCGCCATGCGTATACTTGAGCGGTGTCCCCTTATTCTTTCGCACAATTGTGTATCCGTTTTCCCAACGTAATTAAATCCGCATGGACATGACAGTTTGTAAATGACATGATCTGTTTTACAAGAGATACGTTGTTTAATTATATATATCTTCTGGGTGTGTGGATGAAAAAAAGACTTCGTGGGAATAAGGTGCCCACATGTCACACATCCTAAACAACGAAAGACAGATATTATTGGAGTCATCTTTCTATAAGGGTCCTCCTATAGAATTTATCATGGAACTGCTTATGGTAACACTTCAACTCAATTACTTCAGATTTGAAACCCGATGGTATATGCAATGCTCAGGAACATCGATGGGCGCGGCGATGGCGCCGATGTATGCGAATGCATACATGCATGTATTTGAGAGAGAACACATCTTACATCCATACAGAGGACGAATCGTACAATACGTACGCTTTATCGATGATATTTTGATTTTGTGGAAAGGCTCAATAGCTGAGGCTGAGCAATTCGTGGAGAATGTCAACTGTCTCCCCAGTCCTGTTAAAATCACGGCCAATATCAGTGATACAATTGTACAGTATTTGGATTTGGATATTTTCATTAAAGACAACAAAATAGAGTATCAGCTTTACTCACAGCCCACTGATAGAAACACCATACTGCATTTTGAAAGTGTACATCCTGAACATAGTAAGAAATCTTTACCATACACCCAATTCTTAAGAGTGTTTCGGAATAATTCATTGGTTGAACGGGTTGAAAATCAAGTGGATAGCATGTACAACAAATTCCTCATGAGGGGATATAACCGGCACATACTTGATGCAGCTTTAGATAAAGCAAGATTGGAAATGGCGAATACTGTGAGTATTCAGCAACAAACAAGGGCAACAAGACTGACTTTTCCAATGAAATTCAACTCTGCTAGTACCAAACTTGTCCAAGCTGCAAAAGGGAATTGGAATATCCTAACGGGAGATCCAACTCTGCCTACAATATTCTCTCAAAGTCCAATGATATGCTACAAGAGGGAGAAAAATTTGCGAGACTTGTTAGTCCGCACTGATCCGGAACAGAGTTATCTGCGGAATCAGAATAAATTTCTCAACCCAGGCTGCTTTCGTTGTTTAGGATGTGTGACATGTGGGCACCTTATTCCCACAAAGTCTTTTTTTCATCCACACACCCAGAAGAAATATATAATTAAACAACGTATCTCTTGTAAAACAGATCATGTCATTTACAAACTGTCATCTCCATGCGGATTTAATTACGTTGGGAAAACGGATACACAATTGTGCGAAAGAATAAGGGGACACCGCTCAAGTATACGCATGGCGATCAGAGATGGTATTACGGACAAACCGGTGGCGCGTCACTTTCTTGAACATAAACATCCATTGACATCATTGAAATGTATAGCCATCGACCATATTCCAATATCTAGAAGAGGTGGAGATCGCTCTAAGGCATTGTTACAAAGAGAGACATTTTGGATTCGTGAATTGAATACTATGGCCCCCATGGGCCTTAACGAAAAATTTACATTTATATCGTTTATTTAAGTGGTTGGATAAGTTATCATATTGATTTTATCTTTTTATCTGCAAACATGTTTACAGTATATATTCCCAATTAATTTTATATAGATTAAATTACAGGCGTTTTTTTATATTTGGTATTTAGATCTATTTAAGGGAGGGTTGTTTTCTCCACTCCTTAGTATCTATTTGTAGTTCAATAGGGACATAATTGTTTATAAGTAATACTTTGTCCCTAATTCTTAAATCTGGGAATGATACTGTTACACAGCAGAGTATATGTCATTATATTTGTTATTTAGGTAGTGATTATGTATCATATTACACTGTAACCCCATAGTAGCATAGTGTTTTCACTTACTAACTCAATAATTAGATAGCATGTAAATATATGCACATGTCACTTTAAGGAATCATCACTGCTAGTTTTTTTTATATATTTGAGCACTTGCACTTTTTTTATGAGGCAAATTAATTCTCACTTCTTTTTATTACACCTTGCAAGTAAATATTATGAAGTGCACTTATATAAGTAGAACAAATTGATATCACTTTATTAATGAGGATACACTGTTAATAAGAGAATATGAATAGATTTGCTGGCTTTGTTTGTTGCCAGCTCGATATGAGTATCAAGTTGAGAAATCAGCACTGAGCACTTTCAGCATACACATGTGTTTACGGATCGCCGTTTTTTGCGAACTGTTTATAGGTTGCTATGGTGACGGGTAGGCTGCACTATTGCACCGGAAGTAGTTAAGCGGATTGACACGCATGCGCAATGGGGAACAGACCACGCCGGCATACAGGTGGGGGTGATTTGGTAAGTTAGCTTTTTCTTATTTAAACTGAATATTGTATTTTATGTCCTGATGAAAGTCCACGACGATGGACTGAAACGTTGACCTCTTGACCAACTGGATTAAAAGGTTTTTTGCATCTTTTCTAGCAAATTCAAAGTCCTTGAGTGCTGACTCTTTTTTGAACTTTATACATTTGTGCAGCCGAGCACCGGGCAATAACTAAGGAGAGCTGGAGTGCAACTCCCATCATTTTTTGTATATATATATATATATATATAGATAGAGAGAGAGATCGATCTATGCAAACACACTAGTAAAAAAATTAGACATACACACACTCTCTCCATCCATATCCATCCCCATCATCCATATCCATCCATTCCCATCATCCATCTCCATCCATTCCCATCATCCATATCCACCCCCATCCATCCACTCCCATCACCAAATCCATCCACTCCCATCATCCATATCCATCCACTCCCATCATCCATCCTCACCCACTCACCCACCCACACTCACTAAATACATTTACTTACTGTTTGAATTCTCCCCTCCTCCTCTTCGGTCTTCAGCCTGTCAGCTTAAGCCACTCCCACGCAGTGCTGACAGCCTCAGGACACAAAGCTTGGGCACAGTGCTCTGTGTGCTGATAGCACGTCTGACGTATTCACCCATGGGTGAATACTTCAGACATGAGTGAAGGCTTTTTAGGGCTTCTGAACTCGGAAGTCCCTCTGGTGGCCGTCTGATTGACTGCAACTGGAGGTGTTCCAAGCTTCCAATGAAAATACAGTGCTTACAAGAAAAAGGCTGCAGGGAGCTGTAGCACTCACCTAAACAACCTCATTAAGCTGAGGTTGTTCAGGTTACTATAGTGTCCCTTTAAGCACTTTTTTGAATGATCCAAGAAGTTACCTTTATTTTAGAAGGTAGAGGAGTAGCCTTACACGACTTACATGTCTGTGATTAAATTTACGGTTTATTCTGATTAGATCGTGACTATTAATTCCAAGATACTAATTACACCTTTCCAGGTCACACTCGCCCACTATTTGAGTCCTATATAACACAGTCTTTAAAGCAGGGTCCTCCTCAACCTATTTTTCCTATAACATTTTGCAATTGTATAATTTGCGTTAAATTTCCCCCCATTGAACAATTGTAAAGCACTGCAGAATAAATTGGCGCTATATAAATGCCAACAGTAAGTGTTAAAAATATTACATATGTACGAGCCGTCAACAGTCCATTGTACAAACAGAGCGAATGTGAATAAGCCCTACGGAACTGGTCTATATTTGCCACCAGCTATGTGGTACATTTTATTATAAAGTATGTAACTAACTATATGTACTATTTTAAATCTAACTTGCAGCCATGAAAATAGGGAAAGGGAACTAGTCGTCATGTGTATAATACTATGCAAGTAATTATACAAAGGAGAATGAAAACTATGTTGGAACTACATGGCTAAGTGTTAAATGTATTGATGCTTTGTGAGGGAGGCGATGGGTGGGAAGCGGATGTTCCACAGTCATTGTTGTGTGAATAGGAAATCACTATGCATGATTAGTTCAACGGTGACTGCTCAAACTCCATGTATAACTTATCTGTGAGCAGCCAATTAAAAAATACTTAAACTTTATGAGTAAATAAAATGTTTTACAAACAGAAGGAAAGCGAGGTCTCTGCTCACTCATTAATTCAATTCCTAATTTTGAAAACGTTACGGAAAAATGGTTCCATAACATTCACACTGAGAAAGAAAGAAACCTGCCAAAAAATGACTGGAGTGGAAGATATTCAAATCCATTTCAAAGTCTGATACTAAATATATGTCACCAGTGTTTATATATCTATGGAAGTTCATGATGAGATGCGCATTAGAGAAGTAGCCTTTTACAGGCATTTCAATTGTCCTGATTTCGGCAGGCTGATCCGCCAGTTCTTCGGCTGGACTATCCTACATTTCAGGTGTGTAGCCCCTTGGCATCAATAGTAATGAGATTCCCGCCCCGTCCCCTGTTATTCCACCCACTGTCTCTAAGGGTCGATAAGAACTTTTAAATGAAACACAAAGTCCAATAACCAAAGCTTAAAAAAAAAAAAAAAAAGTTCAGTAAGTGTGTGGGCTGGGTGAATTACATGCATGGGAAGTGTAACAAGAGCTGCATAAACAAAGTGATTTAACTCAAACAGTAATGACACTGCATGGGCATGATCTAAATACCAAAACCATTTTAAAGGACAAATGTCACCAGAATTATTTTTTAGTATTACAATCCTGGCATTTTGTTACATAAAGTGTACCTGAAAATCTGTCCCCTACTTTCACAGAACACTAGAGCATTCTGCCAGATTCACACAAGTTTGGTCAGACTGAGGTAGAATCCGACCATTTAGGCTCCTGCTTCACTTCCTGCACAGAGCTGTGACGTCATCAGTCATCGACCTGTGTGGTCTGCCTGGTCTGAAATCTGACCGCATTGGTAATTCTCATATTAACTAAAGCTACATGTGGTCAGAGTTCAGTTAGTCCTTCCGATTCTCTAACATTGCTTCGGATGAGGAAGTTATTGTTTTTCTGAACTCATGCAAACCAATCCACAGCACTGAAATCGCAAATTATCATTCACTTACTAATACAAAAAAATTACATACCTACCTATCTAATAATAGTGAGGAGGGGGCCAAAAAAAATCTAATACCTGTAAATAAATAAAACAAAATAAAAGTCGTCTTTCTTCTAATTCTTCTCCTCAGTCCCAAAAAAGGCCAAATAAAAATCCATTATTCCTGACGTCACTAATTAAAATAGAAAAAAAAGACCAAATCGCACAAAAAATGGGTGCAAAAATTAAACTCAAGTCTTAAAAAATAAATAAAATCTTCACCCATGAAGCGCTCGCGCATAGCTCAATGCAGAATGAGCTCTCCTAGCGGGAAAAGCCCTTTCATAGGCTTTCCACGCTACATTCATAAAACAGATTGGCATCATTTATATGTCAGTTCTAGGTTTAAAAAGATCCTAGATAAGATCCTAGATTTTATCATGGATGTGCTTTAATAAAAAAAAATGCCTTTTATTACGAGTTTTTAAGCAGCGTGCAGAGGCACTGGTCCATATGTGAATAAGAGAGGACATGAAGAATTATTCCTGTCTGCATACTTTCAACAGATGGAATATTGCCTTGTGTTCGGCCACATCAGAGATGCCAGCAATGTATCTGAACACAGACTCAGTCTTACAACGTTTGCAGTCAGATAATAGCTGTATTGATGCAATTTTCGGAAAGAGAATGGATCATAACTGCAGGCAGCCTGCTTGGGCTTATGTGAATGCTGCTCCTTGCAAAGGACACTTTATTGTAAAATCAGAATTAGGAACTGCAGCTTGCAATGTGAAAATCCAGAGCAGTGATGGTTAATCTTGACAACTGTAAGACAGACAATCATGGTGGTCCACATGGCTAGCCAAAGATGCCTCTTGCTGGCATGGACTATACTGAAGTTATCATAACATTTATGAAGGAACTGATTTAATTACAAACACAAACTCCACAAAGAATTTGTTTAGTGGATTTAATTCCTAACATTGCTCTGACTGACACAATGGTGAAAGGAAAGCGGTGAAAGGAAATCATCATCCACATGGCCACTAAGGTGACAAAGAGGCTCCCTAACAATCAAACACTTAAACGTTAAAGGACCACTATAGTGCCAGGAAAACATACTCGTTTTCCTGGCACTATAGTGCCCTGAGGGTGCCCCCACCCTCAGGGCTCCCCTCCCGCCGGGCTCTAGGGGGAGGAAGGGGTTAAACTTACCTCTTTCTCCAGCGCCGGGCGGGAGCTCTCCTCCTCCTCGGCTGAATGCGCATGCGCGCATTCAGCCAGTCTCATAGGAAAGCATTCACAATGCTTTCCTATGGACAATGAGACAGCCACTAGAGGCTGGATTAACCCACATGTAAACATAGCAGTTTCTCTGAAACTGCTACGTTTATAGAAAAAAGGGTTAACCCTAGCTGGACCTGGCACCCAGACCACTTTATTAAGCTGTAATGTATAGTGGTCCTTTAACCTCTACCTCCAGTTTGCTGAAAAACAACACAGCAGTCCCAGACATATGAAACATTGTCAATGTCTGGTACCATGCACCGTTACAAAATATTCTCTCTCTCCAGAAAAGCTTGCCTTTCATATAAAGCCTGGTATATGGCAGAGCTGACAGAGGTTCTATTAGGAAATCTCCTCACCCCGACGTTTATGTAATTTTACACTTCACCACACAAAATGATTTAAAGGAATACTCTATGCTGATAAACAGTCATTAGAGGTGGAGTTAACTCTGCAAGCAAATTATTGCAGTTTCTAAATAAATGCAATAATTACAATTGCAGGGTTAAACTGACAGGGACAGTGCACCCAGACCACTTCAATGAGCTAAAGTGGTCTGGGTGCCTGTAGTGTCTCATTGAAGAGTTACTATAGTCACTAAAACATCTTTATCTTAATGAACGAGTTTTGGCATATAGATTGTGCCCCTGCAGTCTTACTGCTCAGTTCTATGCCATTTAGAAGTTAAATCACTTTGTTTATGCAGCCATATTCACACCTCCCTGCATGTGAGTTATACTTCCTTAATTACTCATTCTGTTTAATTTAAAATTTCTGACCTCCTGCTCTGCTAATATCCATCAAGATCCTGTAAGGATTTAAAGTGATTTAACTCCTAAGTAGCAAAGCATTTGAGCAATGAGACTGCAGGGGCATGAGTTATATACAATACCTGCTCCCTCAAGCTAAACGTTGTTTTTGATGATTATGTTGTCCCTTTTACATAACAAAGCAGCAAGCAGATGTGGAGATGCAATGTTCCGACCTCCTTACTCCTGTAGGGATCTTGCTTATAATAATCTTAACATCTGTGTGGAGTACTAAATGGAGCACCACAACCTCTCTTTTGGCACATATACTAAAGGTATGACATCACACACAATTTCCTACTGTGTGAATTACCTGGGGATGACAACATGCAGCACTAGCCAATGGGCAGCTAGCCTACAATTCAGAGAGACTGCCTTAATATTATAGGTCAAGCTGAAAATAGTAGTAGTCGCAGCAATATTAAAACATTAAATCTGCTCCCTTAGGCTTACTTGACTGTGACTACAATGCACGCCTTTTTGAGATTTAAAAGCAGAGTCTGAAAGGTGTGCTTTGCCGATCAAATATATATTTCATAACCATTTTTCATGATTCTGCATTTAATCACAATCACTCAAACTAACATGAAGTCTATCTTATTAGTACTAAAAACAACAAACTAAATCTGTATATTTTTCGAGGGAAAAACTGCATTACATTTCTTTGTTTGTTTGTTTCAGTAGGTTTCAAAGGTACATTGGACCTTGATCGTAAATTACATATTTTTAGAACAAAAATGCAAAAGGAAAACTAAAATGGCTTTGAAGTTATGATTCCCTGGCTGTCAGATTAACAAGTATGGGATTAAGTGATGATTGTATAATCTCTAAAAATATTACGGTGCTTGGATATTGAACAGTTAGTAAATAGCGACATCTACTGGCAATTTTGTATATTGAACAAAGAATATAAATTGACGTGCCATCAATCACTATAGAATATTTATATTCAGTTCTTACAGTCTCATTTCTTTGGGTTATGTTGCTGAAAATGACTTCATTTACTGGTATTTCAGAACTGTTGACATCATATGAAAAATGTTTCAGAGAATTATAAATAAAGGAATACTTTTATCTCCTTTTGTGATATCACCACAAGGGAGGTTTTAGGAAGATCCATTATGAATATATAGATTGCTGACCCTTATAGTGCTTGGCTGGTAATGTCTATAGGTGTTCTAGCATTAGGATCTCATTAACCTGGCCAGAATACTTAATTTTACATCAGCATCAAATAATCCAGGTGTGCAAAGGCCTAAAACGTTCGAAAAGTCTTTGTCATACATTGTATTCAGTAGCTAAACTGTAAAAGGGCAGGGAAGAGGGAAGGTATAGGTATGTATGTGTGTATATATTCTCTCTCTCTCTCTGTGTGTTCGTGCGTATGTTACATAGTTACATAGCTGAAAAGAGACTTGAGTCCATCAAATTCAGCCCTTTTCACATATGTTTTTGCTGTTGATCCAAAAGAAGGCAAAAAAATCCAGTCTTAAAGCACTTCCAATTTTGCAACAAACTAGGGAAAAATCCCTTCTTGACCACTAAATGGCAGTCAGGTATCTCCTTGAAACAAAAAGATATTACCCCACTAATTAGAAATTATATCCCTGTATGTTATGTTTTTGCAAATATTTATCCAACTGCTGTTTAAACATCTGTATGGACTCAAAAACATTTCTTTGCCTTAGACTAAAACGCCTTTCTTTCAGGCAGGGCTGGCGTGTCCTATAGGCGGCTTTGTTGCCTAGGGCGCACCGGCATGGGGGGGGGCGCCAAATTTGAGTGACCGGGTAGGAGGGAAGCGCACAGTGCTCCCCCCTATCTGTCACTCAGTGTAGCGTGGCTGGGCGTCACGGACTGCGGTACAGGAGTTCTATTTCCTGTACCCGGTAAGACTGACAGGAAGTGCTCACTGTGAGAGACCATCAGGGGAGGGGGTAAGAGAGAGAGAGACCACCAGGGGAAGGGGTAAGAGAGAGAGAGAGACCACCAGGGGAAGGGGTAAGAGAGAGAGAGACCACCAGGGGAAGGGGTAAGAGAGAGAGAGACCACCGGGGGGGGAGATACCACCAGAGAGAGACCACCATTGGAGGAGAGGGGGACACCACCAGGGAAAAGAAGAGAGATCACCAGAGAGAGACCACCAGGGAAGGGAGAGTCCACCAGAGGAGGGGCTAGTCCACCGGGGAAGGAGAGAGTCCACCGGGAGAGGGAGGAGAGAAAAAGACCACGGGAGGGAAGGAAGAGGGAAGATTCCACCGGGAAGGAGTGGAGGGAGAGATAGACCAGGAGGGGGAAGGGGGGAAGAGAGAGACCAGGATGGGAGGGGGAGGAGGGAGAGACAAACCAGGAATGGGGTAAGAGAAAGATATACCAATCGGGAGGGAGAGAGACCACTAGGGGAGGAAGAAACCACCAGGGGAGGGGAGTCCACCAGGGGAGGAGGAAATGGAGAGAGCCACCATGGGAGGAGGGAAGGGAGAGAGCCACCAGTGGAGAGGGGGGTGAGACCACCAGGGGGAGAGAGGAGAGACCACTAAGGGACAGGGGAGGGGGGAGATCACTAAGGTACAGGGAAGCAGGGGAAAACACTGAGTGACAGGAGGGGAGGGAAGATTACCAAGGGACACACAGAGGGGCTCAGGAGGGAAACGCACAGAGGGACCTGAGGGTGGGAGGGGAAAAAATACACAGAGGGGCCACAAACCTTCTCTTTCACACTACACACATACACAAAACATCCCTACACACACACATACATACACACACACGCACAGAAACATACAATGCATCCCTAGTCACACACCAAAACACACAGTGAATCCTACATACACACAGAAACACACCATGCTACCCTTACACACTCACCTTTACACACACACACAATGCATACCTCACAAACACACACAGAAGAACACAATGCATCCATTACACACACACACTGCTTCTCTTAATGCATCTCTTACACACACACACACACACACACACACACACACACTCAATGCACCCATTAGACACACACACTGCATGACATTATATACACAGAAACACACCTTGCATCCCTACACATACAAACACAGATTCACACAATGCATCTCTTACACAAACTGGTATCCCAATACACTACATTCCATAAGAACACACACACATTACATCCTCTACAATAACACATAACACATCCCCCCTACACACATACACTCCACTCCCTGTGAGCAAACTCATGGGTAGGCCTTGTAGGCATAAGGCTTATGGGCAGGCCTTGTAGGCATACTCACGGTCAGGCCCTGGTGGACCTTGAGCTGTGTAAGGGGCCTCAAAAAATGGAGCTGCTTACTCTACGTTGAATTTTGTGAGCTCTGCCTCGATAGAGCCTGTTTTAACACCAGACTGCATCATTTTCTTGTCCTTATCTGGTGGTAAATAGGCAATCCTGTATATTATTAGTGGCCCTAATCTCTAATTTACCTCACATTAAAGGGACACTATAGTCACCAGAACCACTGCAGCTTAATGTAGTGGTTCTGGTGTCTATAGCCTATCCCTGCAGGCTTTTAAAATGTAAATACACTGCCTTTTCGGAAAAAATACACTGTGTGCAGCACTGGCGTTGGCCCATATGGCAGATCATTGTGATGTCACATGGTGAGCAGAGCATATGGGGGTGGCAAATTTTTGCTTGCCTAGGGCGGCAAAAATCCTTGCACCGGCCCGGCTTCCGGCTTAAATGCGTGACCCCGTGACCTATGTATAGCCTTATCTATGAATAGATATCCAGATAATCGTTTGTACTGGCCCTGAATATATTTGTATAATGTTATCATACCCATCTGAGGCGCTGTTTTTCAAAACTAAAGAGATGTATGTATGTATGTATGTATGTATGCATTTTACTGTGTTTATGCTTTATCAGATGCACCCAATTCTAATTGAAATGACCTTTACATGGGACGTTATTTCTTCTTATTTAAGAAGAGATACCAAAAGACTGATAAATAGTGGAGACTTAGGTTATGGAAGTGTAATGTATGTACCTGTTATAAATACATTTTAAATGCTTTTTCTCATCATTTGCACAATATAGTAACAATTATTAATATACTATGTGAGTTGTTTTATTATTATTTATATAGTGCCAGCAAATTTCGTAGCGCTGTACAATGGGGATTGTATATACCTTCCTTACAGTAATTAAAACATTGAAGATGTGAACAATATCCTTTTGATTGAAGATATGAATATAATGCTCACCTAACCGAGTAAGTACAAGGTATAGGCAGGTTTAAATAGCTGTAGGATATTGAATTAAAAATCTGATGACAGTGCAACTTAACGAAGCCGCAGGTGTGTCTTATGTGGGGTTTTTTCTCTCCCCAACCAGTTTGTTTCTGACCAGGAATTTTCAATAATTAACAAAATATATAACAGAACATACACCCCAAAAACATTACAAAAAAACAAAAACAAAACACATCTTCAGTGTTCAGAATTTAAGTAACTCTAAATAATAAATACATGCAGAAAATTACTAAAAGAAAATAATACAATTTTTAATAGAAAAAACTTAAAGCAGCAGTTAATAAAATAAAATCTTAAAAACAATGAAAATGACGTAAGGGTTTAGAGGAGCACAATATAACATACCATGCAGCCAGTCTACACCTTCCTGTAGCCCCTCTCCTTTAAGGCCGTCACTTGCACTACAAGAGAAGATACGGCAAAACATTATTTATCCAAACATAAAGAGGACGCTATAGCATTATTTCTAACACTACATTTTTTCTCTCTAGTTTGGTACCCTATCCCACTTGTGCTTGCCATAAAAAATATTAATAATAAAGGTTTTTTTAAATGACCATTTTCCAGCTGCAATCAGTTTTACTCTGTCAGTGCAGCACAGAAGTCTCTAGTATGGCAGCCACCAGAGGCATGTTTAACCCTTTAAGATAAAATGGCAATGTTTTACCTTGAAGGGTTAAACATATGCATTGAGATGAAGGGGTCTGGCTGAAATTAGTGGCCCTTTAAAGGAACTGCAAGGCTTCGTTTTAAAAGGGACTCTGCTATAAAAAGAAATGTGTGGATGACAAGCGCCATCTTCTGGTAGTTCTACAAATTACCAGAAAATAGAGATTACATTGTATACAGTTATTCAAGGTGGCCACTGGAAATGGATGTGAGTGGCTGTCTGTGCAGCTGTTAGGCCCAAGTAACAAGCGTGGTATTTCATTTCATGCCATTCGATAGTATCTGGTCACTGTGATAACTCAGACTTCACTTCTAGTTATGGTTGTATTGTGATGTTAAACCCTTACTGTTATTATTTTATTATTATGTTGAGGAGAGAGAAGGAGAGAGGACAGAGAGACTGACTTGTGTTCTTCGGCAGATGTGCTGGGTGCTTGCATGAGCAGGACATGTGCATATACCAGGTTTCTAACTGCCCCCACTGTCACTCTCTCTGAAGCTGCCTCTCAGCTGACTGATAATATCCAAATGAATAGGAAAGCGTATAGTACATAGGGATTCCGGCACAATTACTGGGCTCCATGACATCTAATATCCAGTAGTCGTGACAGTCACCTTATGTGTTTTGGGCTCAATCTCCCTTAATCGTAGCCATGTCATTTTTAAAAGAACAGTGCTGGTCTCAAAATAGAACTGGTGAATAAACATCTATATATTTCTGATTTTGGTTTGTAATCTAACTAGACTAGTATATAGCTGCCTGGCTCTTGGTACTTGTTCAAGTATTACAGCCTGTGTCATATTATTATTAGTACAGCAATGACATAGTCTGCAGCGCAGTACTTCATACAGCTAGAATCATGCTTATTGAAGCTAGCAAGACATTTGCGCAGAGCTAAGCTTCGCTGAGATGGAGACTTTAAAGTGACCAAGATTACGGGGATGTTCTTTCAGATATTTTGCCACATGCATGCAGTGCATTGTAAAACTCTTATATCTCCTGCTAAACCAGCCCTGAATAGTTACAAAAGAATATCTTCTGAAAGTAATCCCTCTGGCTCTGTCGTTTCATATCTCAGCTGGAGGAAGTAAGTGTTCTGTTTGAGAGAACCATTGCACAGTAATGACCGCAAGCGAGAATTCTAATAGTATTCTTGTAGTTCTTGCAATGTATAGTGCTGGGACAATTGAGGTGGCTTATCGGGACTTCTAGCAAACACAGAAATGACCTTTAAAAATAATAGATACATTACCAAATATGCCATGGCTTGTCTTTGATGTTTTCTAAGCAAAGCATCTGAGACACTTTCACGGATGACAGGGAGTCTCTGAGGTCCATCTTGTTAGCAAAAAACAAAATTGGTATCCGCTTGTGTTTAATATCTAGGGGATATTAAGAAGAAAGTTACATTTAGTACAAATCATGACTGTCTGTGTAATCCATTGAAAGCATAAAAATGGGATATATTTATTTGGTCAATGCACCTAAAATGTCACGGTTTTACAGGATAGAGAAGATTAAAGTGAATATTTCATTCATATACTTGGTTAGCTCATAGGTAAAGCTATTTCACTTTGCATTTTTTTGACGTAATGCTTACAGCTGTGCTATCAAATGTAGAGGCCAAAAGCAGCTGTGTGTGCAGCCTCAAATCCTCCTAGTTACAAGGTGGCATCTCACAATTCATAGAATGCATCCTCACACTAGGAGTTGTGCTATACTGAGCACATGTATCTTTTGTCCATTGTATGGTGCCATTTGTTTTTATTTTTTCGAACAGGTACAAATTTTCACTTAAAGGAGCAAATTGTATTCTTAACTCTATAGTGTCCCCACCACTAAAGGAGCAAATGTATTCCTAACTCTATAGTGTCCCCACCACCGAAAAAAAAAAAAAAAATAATAATAATAATTTAAAAACAAAACTGATAATAGGTAAAAAGTTTTTTTTTTTTTTTTTTTACTTACCTTATCCCAGTGACGAGGCTTTCTCGGCAGTTTCTGACCTCTCCTTCCCAACTGAAATCACGGAGGAAGCTCCACTGATCTTATAGAGAATGCCCTGCCCTTTTCCTGTGTGATCAAATCCAAAGCACTGGAGACCTAATGCACATGCACGGCGAGCACCACGTGGGATTTCAACATTCCACATAGGGCTTCCGCATCACGTGACTATGTCTTACTTGGTCTGTACAGCGAAAGTACCTCTAGTGGCTTTCAGTGTGACAGCAACTATAGGAGGAGTTAACCCTGCAAGGTAAACATTTCTCATGGCAGGGTTAAGGGACAGTGCACCCAGACCACTCCATTGAGATACAGTTGTCTGATTGAATATAGTGTTCCTTTGAGTATATCTTTTAAGCTATATGCCTGCTGTCTATTTTATCTCCCAAACAAATCTTATTCAGGCACCTCCACAACAGCTGATTATACTGCAAGTGCTAATAAACACGTTATTCTATTTTTAGGGTATTTTCTATCATTTTTTTGCATTTGAACATTTTTATTAAACATTATTTATTGTACCCGGTGCATTCCGCTACTGTAAACATGGTATCGGCACACGGACGACAAATAGTTTTTGTACTGTCTCCACGGTTGTAAAAAAAAAAAAAAAAAAAAAGAATGTTCACTCCTATCAGATCTGTGTTAGCACAGCATAAGTAGGTTTATTCTCCAAGAAAGATACAGAATTCAGAAAGATTGGGTAATGAAGAAAATAAACATTTAGAAGAAGTTGTTTACTGCCACTTTAAAGCTTCAGAGAAAAGCCATCCACAGAGACCAGAGATCTTTGTCAGACATAATTGAACCACGTTTCCGCAAAGCAAGTTCTGTCAATTTTATCTATATATCCACAGTATTTCCTGTGACCAATTTGTTGTTTTAAAAATGAAAAATACACAAGGGGAGCATCTGCTGGGACTGGAATACTTTAACACGCCAAAATGTGTGCGATACAAGCTGTACCAATACAGGACCTCAAACACAATTCATGTGAAACTACAGATGTTACTTAACTAAGCTACACAATTTCTAGGGAATTCTGTACATCATTATTAGCTTGTTATGCTATTCTCATTTAGCTATTTTTGTTGATGCTCTATGTGTCATTTCCACCAAAACACATCAGAGTTTCTATCGTACCATATACTCCTGGTAGCACATAGTGTTTATTCTTAAATATATGCCACTATGTCTAACTTTCCAATATGCTGAAAACTAATTGCCATTGAAGGAAAATTATTAGGAGGTGTAAATAGTTGTTCTGCTGCTGACGTCAGTTAGTTTAAATATCTGTTATTTGCAATCACAGTTCGAAGGCTGGATTCTGACTGTAACTAAGCATAGGCAGCAGAACTATTTCCTTAGTGTAGGTGGTAATAATGAACAATGCTAGGGAAATTGTAGGCGTAAGCCTGTTATTTATAGCTGGAAACAGCAACATGTCCTATGATAGCTCTCTAGTACTGAGAGCTGACCAAGTCTCTTCACGTAATAAATCAATAAACAACATGGGGTCTTCTGTAATTCACTCCCCCCAAAGCAAAGAGTAGGGGCCTTACATTTGGGCTTCATTCTTTCTTCATTGCAGGGGCTGTGAGGTAGAGAGTAATATCAAAGGGAAACTATAGTGATAAGCGAACAATGTGGTTATTCATAGCACTATATTACACTCTGCACCACCCTGCAGGAGCAGATCAAGGGTTAAAAAGAGTTTTGTCATTGACCGGATTCCTGCATCAATGTCCCTCGGCGCTGGGTCATGCTCCGCCTCCACTCCTCCTCTGAAGATGTCAGCCAACACGAGGGAGCGGGAGAACGTCCTAATGCAAATGCGCGGTGTGCGCAGGACTTCTTCTGGGTGTCTATAGTGTCCCTTTAAAGCAGTGGTTCCCAACCCAGTCCTCAAGCTGCAGATGCTAGATCTAAGCCAAGTTTTGATATACACCCACAGAAAACCTGCAAAAATTGTTACATGCAAGTTTTCTTGGAGGTATATCTACTAAACTGTTAAACTTCTGCTAAAGTGTTCCTTTTTTAAGCCTCTGGAACCACACCACCATTTAGTGAATAGAAAACAGAGTTGTAGTTTTTGTGGTTTCCCATGGAGAACTCCTGCTTCGGACAAAATGCTTTAGTGGTGTTGTAACAAAGTTAAGCCAGTTCATAACTTTTGCCGTTCATTTGCTGCAATGCCAAAACAATCTCAAAGTTTTAACGACATATCAAAATATCTGCTAAAATAGGTTATAAATTGCACAAATCAAGGTAAGTAACCTTGAAAAGAAAATTCTCTCTCTCCAGAAGGTGTTGGCTAATATATTATAGAATAGACAATAATAATAAACAGACACATATCTTGACAAATGTGAAAGGTTTTGCATAGTACACTAGATACAGAATATAGACAAAAGCACCAGGTAAAAAAATAAAATAAAGGGTAACAAAAAATTATGTTGTCAGTGTTTAACCGAGGAACACAAAGTAAATGAAGTACATAAAAAGCACATCAATGCTGTACTATTGTAAACTAATAAAATGTGTCAATTTCTGTAGCTGAGGTTCTACTGGCAGATAAATGGAGAGAATGCCTGTGTATAAAATAGATCTAAACTAAGAAACGTGATACAATATTAATTCTGCGGCACAGATATATCAGGACTCCTATTTTACTGTCAAGACAAGAAACGGGGTTAAAAAAAATAAATAAAAAAAAGACGATTTATACATCAAAAGAAACTGACAGAAACAATTTAGTTGATGATCAAAGTTTTCATCCAGCAATGACCAATAGGAGGCTGACCTAAAGTCGCTTTTTCAGGATGAAGAGGATGAGGTGCCAGGATACCGAAATGGAACGGAGGTAAAAATGAAATGACAGTGAGTACATTATAGAAGCAGGCTTGACATGAAACTCTCAGAAATAATGGGGTTTGATAGACAGGAACGCTTCAAGTAATGATCACCTACAACACAGGAAACCTATTCTCCAGCACTTTTTTCTGCATAGGAAATTATATTCCATAGTTTTACAGCCATTACAGAAAGAAAAGATAACTAAGGTAAAACCAGGGCATATTGTGGGCTTTTAGATGACCAGCTGGATTCTTTGAAGATCTGAACTTGGCAAACACCCAAAGGGTTAAATTGAACCCAGGGCTTAATATATTGTCAGTGATAAATAATAGCATAATCATTGCTTAGAGTCACAAAAATGTTTTGAATGCATGACATTTTAAGGGAAAGTGAAAGGTTCCAAACTCATCACTGTCATGAAATGCCTCCGTTTACCAAATTAGGGAGCTCAGTGCTCTATAAGGTGAAACGAAATACATTTTTTCATTAGTCTCAGGACAAACCTGTATTCCCAACATTCTAGTCCACCTGTCCCTAGTTCTATATAGCTACCCAATGCTCCTCCTATAGAGGGGCATGAGGGACATGGCCGAGATGAAGTGTTCTGGGTGACTTTATTGTTTTTAAGTGTTTAGAATGTTATACTGTCAAACTGAAACCTTTAAAAGGAACAATCTAAACACCATAATTACTACAACTTTTTGCAGTGCTTATGGTGCACGGAGCCTTTTTGTGCAGTATTCATGCAGTTTGACAAAAGATTGGGGGTTCCCAGAGAATTATAATCACAAACCAACTGCTAATATTGCAGGGTGTTAGCACATAATGCATGCTCACGCCGTACAAATGTTAATAATGATAATGAGGCAGAGAAATCATTCATAATGACATTGGAGGCAGAGGGAATCAGCTCAGGGTGTTAGGAGATCCCCCAATTTTGTGGTCCTAACCTCTGCTGAGTTTTTTTTAGATGTCCACTTTTACAATAAACAAACTGATCAACTGATTTCACAAATATAATGGAAAACACTTCAAGACTGCAGCTCCCTTTGTAAATATAGCTCCATTTAGATGTAGCGGCATCTAAATGGAGTAACATTTTTTTTTTACTACACCCTACGAGTGCTGGATCGAGAGGAACCACAGAACTGCCAGTAAAATGATTCTCCTGCTCTCCCTCCTCCCTCCCACCTGTCAATCAATCCTCAGCAAAAAGGAATATTCTGACTTGATATCGAATAATCAATTGACAGATGTGGGTGCAATTTATTTATAAAAAGGTTTATCTCCCAGGCTATACATTTGCTAGCATATATAAACACAAAGAGAATTTAGGGACCCTGCTGCTGTACCTAAAATTAAGGACATAACATGCAAATATTGTTTGATGTATATGTATAAAACAATTACACAGTTGCGCTCACAAATTTCCAATGTAACAAGCGCCTTATGGGTGCCACCCACAATATCAAATAGGGGGTTATCCACCAAGCCAGTAGAATGAAGTTCCGGCACCTTGAAAAGTGCTCCAAAGATGTATTCTCTCCAAAAGGATATTTATTCGATACAAAATTGTGTAAAAATGCACAAATATAGTTAAAATAACGGTCCTACACGTTTCGTCCTCATCCGAGGACTTCCTCAGGGATCCGTATAATTAAAACAATAAACAAAATAGTACAGTGCAAAAATACAGCCTTTACCTTTGCTAGCAATTCTGCTGCTGCAACATACAAATGGAATTTTATATTCTTTTAAAGTAAATAAAACCACTTTAATGACCAATATTAACATGTTCATTTATGCTTTCATCACAATCTGGTCCCTATCTGCTCTATACAGAACAGCTACCTTTAAATGACTGTGCCGTTCCATTTTGATATGTGATCTCTAAAGGCTGGTTTGTTAGATCTGAAAGGGTTAAAGTGGCAGCTACCCCACCTTTTTTTTTTTTTTTACATTTGCTGGGCGAGCTGCCATTGTGTGTAGATGAATGGAATATCAACCAACTGCTAGCAGTGCTCCAATTTTAAAATCAATACATTTTGCTTTAATGTATCTGAAGCCACGGAAGTTTTGTTAGGCCAATACTACGCTGGGATGGAGGGCAGTCACAGCTCAGGAGGCTGAGATTAAAATCCGTCAGAAAGACTTGAGGTGTTTAAACTGCTGACATACATCATTCGAGCTGAGTGCTCTTCAGTAGCAGGCGTCAGCGGCAACGGCGGTGCTGACAAGATGAGTTTTTCTAAAAAAAACAAACACACCATCTGATGAGAAAGGGAGAGGGGGAGAGACAGCAATCTCACCTGCGTGATTTAAAAGGGTCTCCAGTTCCTCTTTGGCCACAACCATTCGGAGCTTGTCACTGCTGTCAATGACAAAAATAATAGCTTGGCCTTCCCTGCAGCGTGGAAAGAAGAGAAACAGATTTATAGAAAAGCAAATAATTCACTTTGGAAACAGGTTCACAGCAACCAGCTTTTTACCTTTTTCACTCCTCTTAACCGAATAACCTTTAATAGTTATTCCAGTAGTATGGCTTACACTACTTTTTTCAGTCCTTTATTAAGTTCACTCTTTATGAACAAGAGAAGGCTTCTGTAGTCTGGAGAAGAAATTAACGATTCCTTACATGGGGGTGCATTAAATATATTTACAGATCTATACAGCCTTTAAAATGTAAGAATCAATACAACCGAATCCTAAACAATAAAAAGCATTAGAAACGAAAACGTATGTATGTGGATATAGTCACAAATAAATAGGCCTGGATTAACTTGGGTAGCCCAGCCAGGAATTGTATGAAAATAAAGAATGCAAGTGGTAGCATCATCAGAAAAAAATAATTTAAATACAAATTGTAAAATGTAGACAAAAATAGCAGCTCTGGAAAAACTCTCCAACTCAATTAAAAGGAACACTATAGTCACCTAAATTACTTTAGCTAAATAAAGCAGTTTTAGTGTATAGATCATTCCCCTGCAATTTCACTGCTCAATTCACTGTCATTTAGGAGTTAAATCACTTTGTTTCTGTTTATGCAGCCCTAGCCACACCTCCCCTGGCTATGATTGACAGAGCCTGCATGAAAAAAAACTGGTTTCACTTTCAAACAGATGTAATTTACCTTAAATAATTGTATCTCAATCTCTAAATTGAACTTTAATCACATACAGGAGGCTCTTGCAGGGTCTAGCAAGCTATTAACATAGCAGGGGATAAGAAAATCTTAATTAAACAGAACTTGCAATAAAGAAAGCCTAAATAGGGCTCTCTTTACAGGAAGTGTTTATGGAAGGCTGTGCAAGTCACATGCAGGGAGGTGTGACTAGGGTTCATAAACAAAGGGATTTAACTCCTAAATGGCAGAGGATTGAGCAGTGAGGCTGCAGGGGCATGTTCTATACACCAAAACTGCCTCATTAAGCTAAAGTTGTTCAGGTGACTATAGTGTCCCTTTAAGCTTGCGGGTGGAATATTTTGCCATTCAGATTTAAATTTAAAAAGAATCAGAAATGAGTGAATAACTGTCAGACAGAAGTAGCTTTTTTCAGTTCTTCTGACACAGTGTGGCATCTGACGCAGATGTCAAGTAATTTAGAGAAAAGCAGGAAAAATGGTTCCCGATGACTATGTCAATGCGGAGCATCTCAGGAAGATGGTAGCAATGCTAATCAGGAAGCACAGTACTGGCAAACTTGTTTGTAAGTGTCTCTCTGATGCACATCTCACTGTAGTAAACACTTCAATTGCAGTTTCTGGGGTGAGAATAAAGAGGAATTGCACCCACTGAAAATTTGCAGGCTATTGTTTAAATGTTATTTTAATTATTGTGCGATAGTATTTTTAGAGACCGATCCTAGTTAAAATGTAAAGGACATATATTCATATACAGAACACGCTCCTAAATTACTGTATATCTAGGAGCTGAAGGATTTCAGGTATTCAGCCTTCAATACATCCGTGACAAACTCAACAAGACAGTTTTATGATTCAGCAGACATCTCCCCAATCACAGCTATAAACAGCTCAGGTGAAACACGGCTTATTCAGACACTTATAAATAGATCTGGAAGTGGCACATCATTTTGATAAATATAAGTGAAGTTGATTTTGACATTTAGATAAAAAAAAACACACTCCCAAAACAAACACATGCACGGCTTGGTGAGTCTGGTCTTATGGTGGGGAGCGGAAGCCGGTATTGGAAGATGATCTGCAATGTATCGCACAGCTGGCATTCCCAAAGTGCACCGCAGGATAATATTCTAATTAGTGTGATACTGCAAATAAATGTGAATAGAAACCCTCTCACATCAGATGGCTCGCCTAGGCTGTGTGGATACAGTAAGATTTACTCAACCATACCAATAAAAACAATGGTGTTTTTATACATTTACACCTCTTTCTCTATATTCCATAACTCAAATTACACATACAGTTCACCGCATCTGAATTCTGCATTCATATTCCTCAATTACCACATCTCTCTCCATCAGGTGCACACCCCTAAACCATAAAAACCTTCAAATATCTCACTTTTAGCAGCTAATGACATCTACAAACCTGGTCCTCACCAATAATCCCAGTGACCCCCAAGCTCAGTTATCCTTTTTAGAGAAAATTCTGTGTTTTCATTGCTGCCTAGTAACAACTCTAGTGGCAGTTACTCATACGACCACTAGAGGTGCTTCCTTTCTAAGTGCTGTTCTGCATGGAGAATCTGAATGCTCCCCATAGAGATGCATTGATTAAATGCATCTCTATGAGGAGATGCTGATTGATTATCTTAGCTATGGAAGTTGGGCCAGCCGTGGTGAGACTGGTGTGGCGAGGGAGAAAAGGTAAGCTAAAAACCTTTTCATTCCAATCTGAGGGGGGCTGGGGACTTAACATTTACCCTAGCACTATAGTTTTAGGAATACATGTTTCTTTAACATTCGTACTATTCTTACCAAAATGGCAGAATGGTATTATGACATAAGGAACCTCTATTGTCTTCCATACTGACAGCATTATTACACAATGCACTTTTCTTCAACTCCAACAAATTTGCATCAGTCATAATTTGCCAGTCTAGACAACAAATATGTCTCCCTTGACATTCAAGATGTTACCTTCTAAATGCTCTACCAATGCAGAACATTTGCCTAACAATCCCAAATCTGTGGAACATTTAATAAAACTATAGCTTTAAGCAGAACTCCATTAACTGCACTCTTACGTGAAAAACAACGTGACTTGTCTACATTGCGCACACCTCAAAGAGATCTCAGACAGATGCATGAAAATAACATAAACCTTTATCATTCTCCCCTACAGCTTCAATTAGTCCACAGGGACATGTATTACATTCCTACAGTTATATAAAACGTTATATAAAACTATAGTTTTATTTCTACTTCTACATCACTTGTAACTCTAAAAACTGCCTACAACTCTGTGTGTATACTGTTCCAGGATACATTCAAATAAACGTAATATTCCGCTTTTTATTTTTCATTTGACTGTTCATTCTTTTACAATAAAATGAGGAGGGGGGTAAGAGGTTTTATAGATTAACAGTTAGTTACAGTAGGATGCAGAAAAATGGTCAGATATTTTTCTCACATGTATTTGTAAGGAACCTGATGGTATTTTTTACAAATTCAGCTTTCTAAAAATGCAAACAATGCAAAAATAAATAAATATTTTAATAGACACAATAAGTGCAAACAGTACAAAGAAGTACACCAACTTCCTATACTATGTAGGGCTTTGCCAATTGCTTTAGCAGTCTGCAATAATCCCTGTGCTCTAGTGAATGATGCCAGACTCCTCACTCCCTCTACCCACTTGGCTGTTAGAATGCAGCCATAAAAATTGCCTTCAAAACTTTTTGTACTATGAGGGATGAGGGAGATGCAATATTCAAAGCCTCTGTGGAGGAACAGAAAAAAGCCCTGGCAAAGAAATGTTGTAAGAGTGAAACATTGCATTAGTTACGTTTAGTTCTGCATTGCAAATCAAAATGAAACTTCACTTGTGTATAAAGCTTATTGGGAGAGAATGTATCTATCAGTATTGCAGGACATATTTAATATTCTAGTCATTTAATACTTTCTAGTCATCGCTAGCCATTTGCAAGAGAAAATGTAGCCCTGGTGAGAAGAAATCCAACTCTAGTTAGAGTGCCATGGACTCTCTGAGCTTGCACTTGTGAGCAACTGTTAACGCCTGGCTAGTAACATTGGACTTAAAATTGGAAGCTCTTTTATATAAATTAGATTGCAATGGATCAAACACAAGTATATTTATACTGCGGGATTGGGGATGTATACATTTGGCTGGGCCTAATTCAGCAACAATTCTGAGTCTGCCTTAAAGGGACACTATAGGCACCCAGACCACTTCAGCTCATTAATGTGGTCTGGGTGCAGTGTCCCTATTACACTTAGTGCTGCAATGTAAAACATTCAGTTTTAGAGAAACTTCAGAAACCCCCCAGTACTTTTGGTGGATGCACAGACTAATTGAGAATATTTACAGGGTTATTCAATAAGGTGACAATTCAAAGTGAATAGCAACTGTAAGGATAAAATAGCTGGGGGAAAAAAATATCTAAGTCAACTATGCTTTCAGTTCAGTTCTCTGGCTTTAAATTTTACATTTACTTTAGTAAATAACCCTATAAGTGCCTGTGTAAGTTTTTATGCCTGACAAACCAGTCAGCTGCAACGTGATTTTTCTACTTGATTGGCAAGGTAATAATGTGGCATTTAAATGTCGAGAGTGCTAAAATATGTGATCACCCTCCCTGGAGAGACTACTTGTCAGGACTGGTAAACTGCTACTTCATATGTAAGTGGACCTGCTACATTCATGTTCCGTGGGAAGATGATGATCGCGTGTTCCCCTCCATACAAATGAGCTATTGAACCCAGTTTGACATTTCATTGTATGTTGGAATCTGAAGGATTGATTGCTGTTAAAATCCAGCTGGAGACATTGGAATGAATGAGTACAACCTGTAACAGGTTTAAAACAATTGGAAACAATATAAAGGTCACACCAATTTTCACTTATAGTGAAAAACCCTGCAGAATACATACAGCCATTTTCAACCAGGACACAGGCATCTTTCAAATTGTGTAGTAACAATTCAACATTAACAGTGATATACTATTCAGGATTCACACACTGACATGGCCTACCAGTTAATTCTGGGTAGTTTAAGTCATATAAAATGAAAAAAGTGGTTAATTGACCGATGGATATCCAGTGCAAGGCAGTAGATTAATCTGCATGAAAATTCTTCTAAATGTCACCAACTAATTTCTGATAATTTAAAAAAGCAGGGTTTAATGACTTTGCAAAAAAAAAATTAGAAAAATATATTTAAAAAAAATAATCACATATTGTGGGTACAATTTTAAAAAAGTCTGAAGGCAGGTATGGGCAACCTGTAGAGACCTGACAGTTACCAAGTCTGAATTGCTTATTCTTTAGGCCAGCAGAAGCATTATTCACGAACTAGAAAATGGGGTTTAATGTACTTACTTGTAATAGTGCTCCCAGAGATTCCTGTATCTTCCCTGGCCAGACATATCGAAAACAGTGAAAGACAAGCTGGAACAAAAATTTAACATTGTACAACAGTCAGTCAGTAAAATACACAGGGTATTTAGCATGCTAAGCATATATAGGGGAAGGAATGACGTGTGTATTTCTAACCGATTCAATGCGGTAGGGTGGCTTTTCATGATGATGGTCATATCACTAGTAATTAAAATGTTAATTGTTACAGTGACCAGCTTACTGATGTCATGCCACACAGATCAAAGACTGAGTATATCTGCTGCCACAATGTATAAAGAATACACTTATCACTACATTTTTGACACAGATTATGTTCTACAGAAGTCCGTTTCATGAACCTCTGGAAAAGACAGCACTCAGAGATTTGTATTGACTAATTTAGTTCAATGGCAAATCCGTAAAGGGAGTTAATCGACCAGTGGAGTACTCGGTAACCGGTCATTAGTAACTAATATGCAAGCAGGTAGGAGGATGACACTCCAATTACCATAAATACAGCTATGGCAGCATTGCTACAATGAGTATATGATGGCTTCTTGGTGCATGAATTAACAGGTACCATGCACATATTTTTATGTTCTAATGAGGATAAAAACAAATCAAAAAGGCTTATAACTAAGGTGACCATGGTTATCAAAATGTAAGCCACTGATAATGAGCAACGTGCTTAAACATTGCAAGCAATCTAAATAGCACGGCTTACAAGGCATTGATTGTAAATTAATATTTAAGACTTTACATTTACTTGAAGTAAAATGCCATGTTAGATTGTTACAGATTATAAGCACAAACACAATATAAGAGTACTAGCTCTTCCAGGATATTAACAGGTGGGGATACTTAGAGTAGACAGTATATACAAAAAGCAAGATACCCTTTATGTAGGACGTTTGTACAGGGCAGGATATCAAAACAACGACGACGTAAAACTAATGAATCCCACAGACATCGTATCATCATTGTACCTTGAAAAGTTTGTTTCTAATTTAGTCATCAGAGGTTTAAAGCTGTTTCTCTGCAGCTTCTTTGTAACAAGTCTTAGCTTGGCTACAATAATATATTAATCCACTTCATCTGAACATTTATTTTTCACAGAGAACTAAGTAGGCAATTTTGATGGCGTCAAATAATCAGCTCCTGAGGGAATTTATTTAATGGTAGGAAAATGCCTGCAATGCTCGAATGCAACCCAAGCCACATGTGATAATTACACTGTTCATAGCAGTCTAGTGTTCTAATCAATTTAACAGAAAGGGAAGGCAGTTGGAGCGCAGAGCACAGTACCTCTAAATGAAATTATTATTTAACGCATTAATCAAAGACAAAGCTCAATTCGAACAATGACTTTTTAAAGGTACTTTAAAATGGAATTAAAGGGAAAAAAATAATGATACTTTAGTAAGCCTAATTCGTGATGGGGGAGTTACTTTATAATTATTAGAATTCAAGCACATTCCTGTACATCATGTTTCACCAATATTCTCGTTTACAAATCATTTTGAAAGTAGGTAGATTTATCTGTACATTAATTACTGTAAGGTGACATGAAAGTCCATGTTTATAATCTGCAGTGGTAATGGTGAATTCTATTTTTTTTTCACTTGGAGCAGTACTGTCATAATGGAGATATGCCCAAGGTTCAACAGTTATCCAACACTCACATGAGTGTGCCAAGCATTTTTGGGCAATGATGTCAATCCTGACATGGAAAGTGCTTCAGATTCAAAGTGTGCTGTTTACTTACCTCAGCTGTACTACCCAGCAGTAAGTGCTTCAATTACAGTTGCAAGAAAAAGTATGTGAACCCTTTGGAATGATATGGATTTCTGCACAAATTGGTCATAAAATGTGATCTGATCATGATCTAAGTCACAACAATAGACAATCACAGTCTGCTTAACCCCTTAACGCCGAGTGACGGACAAGATCCGTCACTCAGGGGAATCCCTTACCGACGAGTGACGGACCTTGTCCGTCACGCGGTAAAATTAACCCTGGATCTCCGCTATCGCGGGGTTAATGGTGCTCCGGTCTACCTCTGTATTAGAGGCAGACCGGGAGCACCCGATAGTGCTGCCCAGCACATGTGCTTGCTCTGACAGCATGTCAGAGCAAGCACATGTGCGTAGTATACTCACCTTCCGCCTCCCTGCACTTCCTGGTTCTGTGTGAAGTGCAGGGAGACGAATCAGTGATGATCCTGCCCCTGTTGAAAAAAATAAAATAATTAAAGTTAATTTAAAATCCCACCCCCCTTTACCCATTTTAATAAAAAAATTAACCCCTTCCCTGCCAATTGATCACTGACTACAGTGATCAATTGGCAGGGATTACATTTTACTGTCATTTGATTTTTTTTTTTTAACCCCTGAGGGTTAATTTTTATTTTTTTTTTTACCCTCAGGGTAAATTTATTTAATTAATTAATTTAAATATTTAAAAATGATATATTTAGCTAGCTGGGGTGGGTGGAAGTTAATGGGGAATTGTGGGATTTGACCTTAGGCTAACTAGGGGTTAACGATAAAAAAAAGTTTTAAAATAAACTTTAAAAAGTTAAAAATTAAGCTTTAAAAAAAGTTTAAATAACTTTTAAGTAAAAAATAAAAAAACACCCCCCTTTACCCAGTCCAAATAAAAATTAATCCCTTCCCTGCCAGTCGATCACTGCCTACAGTGATCAAAATACAGATCACAGTATTATACGGTGATCTAATTTTTTTTAACCCCTGAGGATTAATTTTTATTTATTTTTTAACCCTCAGGGGTTTAATTTATTTAATTAATTTAAATATTTTATAACTATATATTTTGCTAGCTGGGGTGGGTGGGAGTTATGGGAAAATGGGGAATTTACTGTTAGTGCTGCTTACTGCTAGTTAGGGTTTAACGGTAAAAAAAAAGCTTAGAAAAATGTTAAATCTGTAAAAAAGTTTTAAGAAAGTTTAAAAAAAATTAATAAGCAAAACAAAAGTTTAAAAACTAGTTTTTAAAAGTAAAAAAGTTTCAAAAAGTAAAAAAAGTTTCAAAAAGTAAAAAAATACATTTACAAACGCTCATTACCACTACACCTGGAACAAACTAGAGAAAAAATGATCCCACGCTAAGGTTCAAAATATGCCTTTTGAATTACCCCAGGGTGTATTCTTTAATAAATAGTATGTGTTTGTGGGGAAGTTTCAATAACCAACCGTCTAAACTACTCCAAATTGGAACATGGACACCGCGTAAAACTTCAAAGTTAGAAAAAAACTGAATGGCTGCGTCTCAAATGCGCCCCTTCAACATCCACATATACCTGGCAAAGGTACATACGGGAGTATTGCTGTACTCAGCCGACATAGCTGAGCAACATATGAAGTAATATACAGTTGTAGCACACATAAGGTTTGCAAAATATACTGCGCAAACTCACTTTGTGTGTCAAAAAGGCAGAAAAAAACGCTTATTACCACTACACTTGGTACAAGCTAGCGGAAAAATTACCCCACGCTAAGGTTCAAAATATGCCTTTTAAAATACCCAGGGATGTCTTCTTTAAAAATGGTATAGCTTTATGGTGTATTTGGATTATATAGCCTGGTAAAATACTCTAAAATGGGACATGGGCACAGCGTAAAAATGTAAAGTTTGAAAAAAACTGGAATGGCTGTGTCCCAAATGTGCCCCTCCGATGTCAACATATACCTGGCAAAGGTACATACGGGGGTATTGCTGTACTCAGCCGACATAGCTGAGCAACATATGAAGTATTATACAGTGGTAGCACACATAAGGTTTGCAAAATATACTGTGCAAACTCACTTTGTGTGTCAAAAAGGCAGAAAAAACACTTATTACCACTACACCTGGTACAAGCTAGCGGAAAAATGATCCCACGCTAAGGTTCAAAATATACCTTTTGAAATACCCTGGGGTGTCTACTTTAAGAAATGGTAGGCCTTTGTGGGGTAGTTTGAACTTAAAACCTGCGAAGATGCTTGGAAATAGCACGTAGACCCAGCGTCAAAATTCAAAGTTCAGTAAAAACTGATATGGCTTGGTCTCTTATATGGCACTGTAGCTTCACGAAATAGTGCCAAAGACATTCATTGGGGGTGTCTTTTTACTCAGAAGACTTAGCTGAGCATAAATTAGGGGGTTTGAACTTAGTGGCACATATGAAATATACAAAATGCCCAGCAAAAATGCAATCCGTATGTAAAAAATGCACAAAATTATTTTTTACCACATACTTTGGCATATATTGGTGAAAAAATGGGGGCATGTTAGGGCACAATATGCACCTTATGAGATACCCTGGAGTGTCTACTTTTACAAATGGTAGGCCTTTGTGGGTTTTTTTTGAACAGTCAAACTGTTTTAATACCCCAAATGGAAGCTAAGGCTCATTAAATCCGTCTCTCAAAATTCTACTGTGAATACTGAAAAGGACAGGTCTCCTATATGGCACTGTAGCTTCACAAAATAGTGCCAAAGACATACGATGGGGGTGTCCTTTTACTCAGAAGACTTAGCTGAGCATAATTTGGGGGTTTGAACTTAGTGGTACATATGAAATATACAAAATGCCCAGAAAAATGCAATCCGTATGTAAAAAATGCACAAAATTATTTTTTACCACATACTTTGGCATATATTGGTGAAAAAATGGGGGCATGTTAATGCACAATATGCACTTTATGAGATACCCTGGAGTGTCTACTTTTACAAATGGTAGGCCTTTGAGGTTTTTTTTTTTTGAACAGTCAAACTACTATAATACCCCAAATGGAAGCATAGGCTCATTAAATTCTACTGTGAATACTGAAAAGGACAGGTATCCTATATGGCACTGTAACTTCACGAAATAGTGCCAAAGACATACAATGGGGGTGTCCTTTTACTCAGCAGATGTAACTGAACACAAAATAAAACTTTGTACAGGAATAGCACACACCAACTTTACAAAATACACATGAGAATTTCTTTGTTATAAGTTTGTGTGCCAAAAACCCCCAAAAACACAATTTTACTCCAATATTTAGCAGAGGTTGGCGGTGAAATGGCTACGTAGAAAGTGTCAAAACAACCTTAGGTAAATAGCCCGTGATGTCTACTTTATATAAATATATACTTTTGTGTGGCAATTTTGTTTTCTTTTATGGCAATTAAGCTTACAAGACAAACATACCAAATTCTAAAATCGCTCGACATTAAAGGTTTAGTTTACTCCTTGTGCTTTGTGACCTGTAACTACCAAAAAAAACTTAAAATCCCAGACACATTATATATTCTGTAAATCAGAACAACTAAATGAATTTATTTTTAATTACTTTCCTTAACCTGCACTAATTGTGCATACATTGCAAAAACTGTAAAAAAACAAACAAACAAAAAAAACAACATTTTTAATTTTTTTTGCATTTTTCTGTATTTTTTTTATAATAAATAAGTATATATGTTACATCAAATTAAAGCCCTTTCTGTCCTTTAAAAAAACGGTATATAATAATATGTGTCGGTGCAATAAATTAGTAAAATGCAAATTGCAATTGAACGCAAACAGCAAAAAATGCTGTTGTCATTAAGTGAAAGACAAGCTTCTGAAGCTCTGTCCTTAAGGGGTTAAAGGGTCACTATAGTCACCTGAACAACTACAGCTTAATGTAGTTGTTCAGGTGAGATCTATAGCTCCCTGCAGGCAATCTAAGAGAAAATACAGTGTTTACATTGATTGATAGGAATACCTCCAGGGGCCGTCACTCAGACGGCCACCAGAGGGACTTCCTAACATGTAGGGCCCTAAAAAGGCCCTATACATGTCAGACGTATTAAAATACGTCTGACGTGTGCAGGAGAGAGAAGGCACTGTGTGTGCGCCTTTTCTCTCCTGCCTGTCAGCCGAGGAGAGGGGGCGGGCAAAGACCGCGAGCTGAGCAGTCAGCTCAGCTCCTGGCCGCGCACACCGTGTGCATGCGCGGTAGTGCGCTCAGGAATGCCGTCCTCTGAAGTATATGCGTATGTGCGGCACATACTTCAAATGGAAGCGTCTGATTGCTCCCTGCTCGCGCGCGGTCACAAGGCTCCCGGCGCTGGAACCAGGTGAGTAAAATGGGTTGGCTGGAGGGTCCCTTTTAGGACCGGACTGTTTTTGCGATGTTGTACATATTTTTACACTTTTGTGGTGTTTGTGTTTAGCTGTAATTTTCCGCTCTCTCATTTACTGTTCCCATACAAATTATATATTGTTTTTTTCAGGACAAAAGGGGCCTTCTTTACATACTATTATTTATATAATCTCATGTAATTTAATTTAAAAAATAAATAAAAAAATGATGAAAATTGAAAAAAATACATGTTTTAATACGTCTATATATCATTCATACATATACATATACATATACATATATATATATATATATATATATATATATATATATATATATATAAAAAAAAAATTTTTTATATTAACATTAACTGTATTTTTTTTTTATGATTTTACAGTTGCAGGGAGACTGCCTGTCAGCACAGGCAGTCCCCCTGCAGGCAGACATATGGACACCTATTGTGACCATGTGATCGCTGTGTTGAGCGATCACATGGCCACAGGGGTCCTAATCCAGTGTGGGGAGACTGTCTGGGCTGCAGGCAGTCTCCCCACAACGGGAGCACCGCTGATCGCCGCCGGCGATCTGGTAAGTAACTAAGACTGTTAGGACAGTTCAGGACCGTCACCGGTCGGCAATGTAAAAATGCCGATGACGGTCCTTAAGGTGTTAAACTAATAACACACAAAGAATGAAATTTTGCCATGTTTTTATTGAACACACCATGTAAACATTCACAGTGGAGGTGGAAAAAGTATGTGAACCCCTAGACTAATGACATCTCCAAGAGCTAATTGGAGTGAGATGTCAGCCAAATGGAGTCCAATCAATGAGATTGGATGTGTTGGTTACACCTGCCCTGCCCTATAAAAAACACACACCAGTTCTGGTTTTTGCTTTTCACAAGAAACATTGCCTGATGTGAATGATGCCTCGCACAAAAGAGCTCTCAGAAGACCTACGATTAAGAATTGTTGACTTGCATAAAGCTGGAAGGGGTTATAAAAGTATCTCCAAAAGCCTTGCCGTTCATCAGTCCACGGTAAGACAAATTGTCTATAAATGGAAAAAGTTCAGCACTGCTGCTACTCTCCCTAGGAGTGGCCGTCCTGTAAAGATAAAGATGACTGCAAGAGCACAGCGCAGACTGCTCAATGAAGTGAAGAAGAATCCTAGAGTGTCAGCTAAAGACTTACAAAAGTCACTGGCAAATGCTAACATCTACAATACGTAAAACACTAAACAAGAATGGATTTCATGGGAGAATACCACAGAGGAAGCCACTGCTGTCCAAACAAAACATTGCTGCACATTTACAGTTTGCACAAGAGCACCTGGATGTTCCACAGCAGTACTGGCAAAATATTCTGTGGACAGATGAAACCAAAGTTGAGTTGTTTGGAAGAAACACACAACACTATGTTTGGCGAAAAAAAGGCACAGCACACCAACATCAAAACCTCATCCCAACTGCGAAGTATGGTGGTGGGGGCATCATGGTTTGGGGCTGCTTTGCTACGTCAGGGCCTGGACGGATTGCTATCATCGAAGGAAAAATGAATTCCCAAGTTTATCAAGACATTTTGCAGGAGAACTTAAGGCCATCTGTCTACCAGCTGAAGCTCAACAGAAGATGGGTGTTGCAACAGGACAATGACCCAAAGCATAGAAGTAGATTAACAACAGAATGGCTTAAACAGAAGAAAATAAGCCTTCTGAAGTGGCCCAGTCAGAGTCCTGACCTCAACCCGATTGAGATGCTGTGGCATGACCTCAAGAAAGCGATTCACACCAGACATCCCAAGAGTATTGCTGAACTGAAACAGTTCTGTAAAGAGGAATGGTCAAGAATTACTCCTGACCGTTGTGCACGTCTGATCTGCAACTACAGGAAACGTTTGGTTGAAGTTATTGCTGCCAAAGGAGGTTCAACCAGTTATTAAATCCAAGGGTTCACATACTTTTCTACTTGCACTGTGAATGTTTACATGGTGTGTTCAATAAAAACATGGCAACATTTCATTCTTTGTGTGTTATTAGTTTAAGCAGACTGTGATTGTCTATTGTTGTGACTTAGATCATGATCAGATCACATTTTATGACCAATTTGTGCAGAAATCCATATCATTCCAAAGGGTTCACATACTTCTTCTTGCAACTGTATATTTACGGTGGTGTAGGAATGAGAAACGGTCATTTTCAGAAAGATTATAGATGCACTATAAACAATGTGCTGCTCATGTAAATTAATTCTCACATAAATACAATTCCTTGGCTTTTAATTTACCGTAAGTAAGAATAAAACCACAAGAAAAATGTTGATCTATACGCAGGAACTTCCTAAGACAGCTTTAACCTTTTATTAACATTCTGGTGGTCAAAAGCTATTGACAATTTCGTGGCCATTCTGCTGGACAATATATATTGGTAATTCTACAGCCACTCTACTAATCAAAACCTATTACTAATGATATGGCCATTTTACTAGCAAAGACCTACATGCAAAACTATGGACACTCTGCTGGTCGAAACCTAACTGCAGTTGGTCAAGACCTATTGGCAATTCGACGCCCACTTTAGTGGTCAAGACCTATTAGCAATTCTAAGGTCATACTGCTTAGGATTGGCAATTTTTATGGTCACTCTACTGGTCAAGATCTATTGGCAGATCTGTAATCAAAACATATTAGTAATTCTATGGCCTTTCTACACCTCAAGACTTACATTCAAAGCTATGGCCACTCTGCTGGTTGAAACCTACTAAAATCATGCTGCTTGTTGACTTCTATTCCCAATGCTACAGCCACTTAACTGGTCAAGACCTATTGGCAATTTTTATGGCCACTAAAGTAGTTAAGAGCTATTGTCAATTTTAAAGTTATACACTGCTGGACAAGACCTACTGGCAAATATATATGGTCAATCTACTGGTCAGGACCTCTTGGTAATTCAATGGCCATTCTACCGGTCAAATCTTTTGGGATGTTGGTCCTTGTATGGTCTTCTACTCTTGAAAACCTATTGAAGTTTGAAAGACTACCATACCTAGGTACTTGTTTATACATTGGGACCTTTATATATTTCCACTGAAATTATATAGGACTGACTGATGGCAATCATTGACCACTGCCAAGTTTTACAATGGCTTGATCAGATTATATATTAAAGATTCTTATTGGTTTCATTTTCAACAGTGATTCACAGCCATTTCCTATTGGTATGGATAGGAATACAGATTTTATTATGAATTCCTGTATTTAAGGTTTATTTGAACATGGCACACAAACAAACTAATATTGTTTTTACTGCACACACATAAATATATAAAGTATTTCAGGGGTTACAAATAGTGTCTCCTCTGCTATAAAATTGCTGATTTCAAGAGAACAGCTGGGAGGAGGCTCTTTCTCACTCTTTTGTGCACCATTGCAAAACAGTAAAGTAAAGCTTCACGTCTACAAACTTTTGACTTAATGTTTCTTGATAAGAAACATTGCCAGAATTGGGTCTCAATGCTTCTCTGAGAAACATTGATTTCGCCGTGAGGCCACCAGTACTAATAACCACCCAAAGGTGGAGCGGAGATGTGGCAAGAAGACACTCTAGCCTCCAGATTAGTTGAAAGCATTTTAGCATTTTAGTCGGGGGACTCCAGTAATCCAAAGTGGCCAAAAAACACCAACTCTGTAAATAAAATGTATTTATTTATAACACTGGAGTGTTCCTTTAAGTTACAACCTATTTAGAGTACTTAAGAACAAATAAAGACATAGGTCTGCATATGGAAGAGGGAGTACAATTATGTTGTGGAATTAGCATATTACATTCAATGAATGTAGATGGAATAACACTTACCTGGATGTCTTGAACTTTTCTATGCTAAATCCTATTGTTGGAACTATATCCTGAGCTTGGGCCTGAAGAAAAAAAATTAAGCAAATTGAAAAAGACAATTTTTTTCCCGTCGCATCAACTGCATTTAAATTGAAGAAAAATAAAAGCAATACATTTGAAACAATATTTATCTACATATATAAGGTTATCTGGGTGCTTTAGACTGGATGAGCTGCCTATAGTCTGAGTAATTTGTAAAGTCTGTATTGTGATGACAGTGGTTTCAGTCATTAGCACTACACCCTTTCTGAAACATAGAAACATAGAATGTGACGGCAGATAAGAACCATTCGGCCCATCTAGTCTGCCCAATTTTCTAAATACTTTCATTAGTCCCTAGGACGAGATAATTCACATACTAAAGATGTACATAAACAAATTATTGACACGACCAATAATTGGTGCCAACCAGGGTCGGATAAAGCTCCAGGCCAATTGGTTTATAAAAAATTACTTTTTTTTCTTTTTACACACTACTCTTAGGGTTGCCACCTGGCCGGTATTTCTCCGGTATTTGAGGCTGCCTAGCCGGTGCCAGTATTGCAGTAACACCGGCAATACAAATGTCTCAGTATAAGCAGTTATTATTCTGCAATACCACGGACACAGACACTAGGGGGCACTGTGAGACCTGGAGACACATACACTAGGGGAAACTGAGACATGGGGACACTTCGGGACCCTGAGACACCAGGGACTCAGTGGCCCCATGTCTCCCAGTGACCCATAGTCTCTCAGTGTCCCCATGTCTCCCAGACAGTGTACCTAGTGTCTCAGTGTCCCCCTGGTGTCTCTAAGTGTCCCTAGTCTCCCAGAGTCCTCTAGTCTCTCAGTGTACCCAGTCTCCCAGAGTCCTCTAGTCTCTCAGTGTACCCAATCGTCTCAGTGTCCCCAAGTATCTGAGTGTCCCCATGTCTCCCCAAGTGTCTCAGTGTCCCCATGTCTCTAAGTGTCCTAGTGACATGGGAACACGGACTCTAAGGGCCACAGAGACATGGGGACACTGTACGACTTTGAGACCTGGGAGATATGGGACACTCCCAATGTCCCCATGTCTCCCAGCCAGTGTCCCTAGTATCTCAGTGTCCTAATGCCTTCCAGTGTCCCTGGTGTCTCTGTCAGTAATGTGCCAGTGTCCCCAGTGTCTTAGTCTTAGTGTTTTCTAGTCTCCCAGAGTCCCCTAGTATAAAAGAAAAATCTCAGGCACTCACTGTAATACATGTAAGCAGGTTTATTGGACACCGCAACATTTTGAACTGTACCCAGGTCTTTATCAAGTCAGTGTTCCCTATGTATCACAGTCACTAAGGGACACTGGAAGACATGGGGACACAGACATGCCCCTTTTTTGGGTATGTTTTCCCCTTTCGGCAATTCTGTTTATGTGATTTGGGTCAGCGGCCCACCCTTTTACCCCGTCCATAGACTTCCTGCTTCACTGGGCACTACTGTTAAAGGGTGTGGATTTACTTGAAAGATAAAGGTGTGAGATTAGCAAAGAGTATGTGTTTTCTCATAGCTGCATCCTATGAGTTTCCCTCCAGCACCATTTCCATCAGATACATGACGCTTGGGAGGTAGGACTGTTTTAGTGTTTTTGGTCGATAAGATTTTATAATAGGCCCCATCATAATTGTCAGCACCAGGCCCACTGGGCTCTTAATCTGGCCCTAGTGCCAACAGTTTACTTCTACAACATTTTACATAAGAATTTAGGAAAGATTCCCAGTTATGAATATAACTAGTCTGTCTTTTGTTCCTCTTTGTTTTTGTTCAGCTTTAAAGAAAATATGTAATTTTCAAAAGTTCTATAATTAATCAGATATTAAAAACAGATAGTAAATTAATATTAAAAACAAATAGTAAATTAATATTAAAAACAGATAGTAAATTAATACAGGGGACACTGTGATACATAGGGAACTTGATAAAGACCTGGGTACAAAAAAACATACAACTAAGATGAGGTTAGAAAAAATTGTAGAAGTGTGGATCAATGTTTAAAATGTGGATTCATGAAATAAACACTGAAATGTAGGCATTCACAGAAATCCACAATCACATTTAAAACACAATGTGTTAAGTGCTTATTATTATATCTTCTCATTTTGTTTATTTCATTTATGTTTATCTAACAGGTAATTAGAATGCACTGCTGCGATGGGAGAGCACAATGTAGTGACAAGGAGAATTTTCCTTTGCTGATTCCCTCCCAAGGGAGGTAAGCATACAGAAATGTCTGCAAGCTGTCACGGGCTGCGGGAAGGGGATGCAATGTAGAAGTGGCTGACAAGAGCTAGCAAAACGTCTCTACTGTGTCGAGACTCTCAAGAGACAGACTATCTCAAGAGAATGTGGAGCTGCATCACCCTTCAAGTGCAACCATTCTATAATGAGCAATATTTTATCAATTTTTAGAAAGGTTATATTAAAGAGATCTCAAAAATAGTCAATATTGTGACAGCAGTCCTTACAAATTCCCCGAGGTGGAATATAAATGAAGGTAACATATATATGCTGAAGGGGGAAACATACAGCTTATAAATTAGTATAGAAACATGGGCACATGGTGACACAAATAGAAATCTGTAAAAGATATCCAAAAAAAGATTAGGGTTGGTTGTTGGAACTGTAATTAAGCCACAGGAAATGGTTGGTGCACAGCAGTATTAACGTAGGAAATTATGTCTCCACACCCATCAATAGGTCCATAATAAACATATGGCATTCTACACAAATAACACAGAAATAAAATGTGCTCTGTATATGAAATCATCTTCTGGTTATTTTGCCAGCAGTTCATAGTTGTAACCCACCTTACTGCATGCGGTTACCACAGTGAAATGTTTTTCAAGCCAATTTAAAAGACCACCACACACAAGAGCTGTTATACTGAATTGATACCCAAATATAATATGCTCACTTTGTTTGTCCCAATGGTGTAATCTTTATAAGAATAGTTAGTGCATTAACATCTATTTTTGGACACCTAATCTATATCTCTGTTCTTTTTTCATATTAGTTTAATGATTGTTTGTATAGACCCAATTCTTAAAGGGAAACTATAGTGCTAGGAATACAAAGTTGTAATCCTTGCACTGTATACCCTATAGTTCCCCCCACTCCCTTGCGTAACCCTTCCCCTGCGTTGTTGAAAGGGTTAAAAACCCTTCTGTCACCTCATTCCAATGATATCCCTCGGCACTGGGTCAGACTCGGCCTCCATTACTCACCTGGCGACGTCAGCCAGCAGGAGGTGGGATCTAATGCGCATGCGCGGCGAGCGCCACGATCACATTAGGACTACCCCATAGGAAAGCATTAAATCAGAAGTTTTAGGTGACACTGGATATCCTTAGCAAAGTGTGAGGACATCCAGTGTCATTTAGCGGATCAAAAGTCCGCTAAGGAATTGGAAGCGCCTCTAGTGGCTCTCTTATAGACAATAACTGCAATAATCACAATTGTAGGGTTAAGGGGAATGGCAGAAATCCTTTATAAAACTGGAGATCCCTGGGAATAAAGCTTAATAGAAATTATTCTCTTTTTTACTCAAATAAAATACGTCAGACTTACAATGTTCACAACATTAGTAAAATGCTGTATGTAAGGGAGAAATATATACATGCCACATGATGGAAAATATTGTTTTAAAAAAAAAAAAAGGGCTGAATGAAACGGCTACCTACATTTCGGAGTCTACATTACAAAACTATATACTGTATAACCATTTTAAGTTTAAAAAAATGTTAATACGCTTAAATTCCAAACCACCACATTTTGCAAATGCTTGGCTTTAAAACAGCAATCCTTGTCCTTATTTTATGTAACCTGAAACTGGAAAGATAGAAGTAAATTCGGTTGTACTTCACTTGTCTGCAGTTCTCGTGCTATCCATCCCCCAAATAGAAAACCGATCTCATTTTTCTCGTTACTCTCCTGGCCTTATTTGTAGTGAGCTGATTGTCTGCTGTACCCCACATGCCCCATTTATTGTCTTAGACCTCAATCTCATCTGACCATTTCCTGCCCTGACCAATACCTCCGCCCTCAATCATGACTGCTTGCCCTCTTTCGATTCAGCTTGTTCAGCACAAGGATCAAAGCTGTATAATTTATTGCAGGTGATATTCCACCACAAAGCCATGGGCCTCACGATTAACGGTTTAAAAGATTAGCCACGATGTAGAATTTGTAAAATTCTTGCAATACCCTTGTTGATTCTCCATAGTTTTTGTTTAATAGAGAAACATAAGGGGTAAAATGCACATTTCCTTCTCCCGTTTACACACATTATTGGATGAATGGGTTACAATATTACAAAGATTTTTTACAAGTGTCTTATTCTTATAAGAGTGCTACAGAAATCCATACACACTAAAGTGTGATATATCAAGAATGACACTAATTTAAAATTTTAGCCCAAAAAAGCAGTTGGAAAAAAACAAAGTCGCCAACTTTTCAGGATTTCAGTTTGGCTACTTTGGACTAAAATTTGCTTTGAATTCCCAACAATTCAATCTTTAGTGAATAGGCCTGAAAGGGTGAAGCACCACCTTGAATCTATGACCTTCTGCTTTTCCTGTTTGCAATACACTGAGGGCTAAACAGCAGCGGCGTCCTAAGCAAATGCAATTTCCGTCTGTTTTCTCCTTTTCATTTTTATTTAGAACATTAGTGCGTCTCTGTGGGAATCAGAAGATATCCTGTGATTAAATTGCTCCCAATTATGCCACTCTAGGAATCCTTACAATAATTTGTATTCTGCCACAATTGGACACCATTAAAACAATAGGATCTCTGTTTCCAACTGGAGAATGTTCGTGTTTAACAGGGTACTGACTCACAATGTGTAGAAGCCCTGGCTCTGGCAAAACACAGTAAAAGATTTAACCCTTTCATTGGCAGCAAGAAATAACCAATCCAAGGGCTGATAAGTTCAGAAAGCCGAGACATACGTAAAGGTGATCATTAGAGGTAACTGAACATGCATCCAGAGGATCGTACTTTACATAAACACAAGCTTGCTGAAGGTGAAATAATCTTTCCAAGAAAGGTTTCACGATATCGAGCAAAGCAGCATCGAGGTGTAACAAGCATTATGGGAACTTACATTTGCAGGTTTCAGTTTGTTGATTATGGTGGTTTTTCCGCTGTTGTCTAACCCAAGACATAACACGTGAACCTCTTTCTTCTTTAGGCCTAGCCATCCTGCAAGCCTGTCAAATAGGCCCATGGTCCTTAATCACACTCTGCACCTGATTTCAAGAGAGTAGGTATGGAAGTCAGAAATGGTACATTATAATGATCAGCAAACGCAGGGAGACTATTTCATCGCCATTGTCATGTTAGATCAAGGGAAACAGAAGGTGTAGACTGAATAAGAGGATTGTAAGCTGCTTAACAACCTGGACTATGGCGCCTTATAAGGATTGAGTTTATCTCTTAGCACAGGCTATGCTGCATTTATTTTTCTACCGCTATGAACACACATACAGCAGAAGTCATAAAAGCATATAATAAGACAATTTCCATTAAGATGCATCAGAAAATCATCTTAATGTGTCCTTCTATGCAATATGAATGTTTCCTCAGCATTATAGGCAACTGAACAGTTAACAAGGGAGAGTAGTACAGCAAAGGTAAGCATAAAAAAGCAAAAAAACAAAAAAGAAACACCACTTATCTTTGCACTCTTTCTTTATTCTGGATGACATCAAAGCCCCAAGTGGGTGCGCTCAAGGTTTTACAGAGAAAGGCTGCGCCAGTGCATGCTCAGGCTATGACAGGACATCTAAGCATGCATTGTAAGAGGGACACTATATGCATAAAAAAATAAAAAAACTTTAGCTTATTGAAGCAGTAATATAGATCATGCCCCTGCAGTCTCACTGTTAATTTCTCTGCCATTCAGGAGTTAATGGGAAATTATAGTGCCAGGAATACAAAGTTGTTTTCCCTGGCACTATAGCTCTTTATAGTGCCCACCTCCCCCACTACGATGCAGAAGGGGTTAAAATCCCCTTCTGTCGCTTACCTGAGTCCAGCGCCGATGTCCACTGGCGTTGGTCCATCTCTGCTCCTCTCCTGCAGTGAGTGAGCAGGGGAGACCTACTGCGTAAGCTCAGTAATGGCCGCGCTCGCATTAGGATTTCCCCATAGGAAAGCATTATACATAATTATATATATTATAGCATTATTATATGGGGATTTTGGGGATGCTGGAATTCCTTACGCATTCGCCTAACAATCCGGAAGTCCCTCTAGTGACCATCTGGTAGACAGCCACTAGACGTGGAGTTAACCCACAAAGCTAATTATTTCCGTTTATAATGCAATGCAATGAGCTGAAGTGGTCTGGGTTCCTATAGTGTCCCTTTAAATCACTTTGTTTCTGTTTATACAGCCACACCTCCCATGGAAAAAAAAAAGGTTTCATTTTCAATCAGATGAATTTACTTTAGAAATGTACATCTCCTTTGCTGTAAATTGAACTTTAATCGCATACAGGAGGCTCCTGCACGGTCAAGAAGGCAATTAACAGAACTGAAGATAATAAATTCTAAATTAAACAGAATGTGCAATAAGGGAAATTAAACATCAGATCTCTCTTTACAGGAAGTGTTTAAGAAGGCTGTATGAGTCACATGCAGGTGGGTGTGACTATAGTTGCATAAACAAAGTGATTTAACTCCTAAATGGCAGAAAATTGAGTAGTGAGACTGCAGGGGCATGATATATACACCGAAACGGCTTCATTAAGTTAAAGTTGATTTGGTGCCTATTGTATCCCTTTAAAAATAAAAACAACTGAGAAATTCTGAAAAAAACTTTTAAGTAGCTACTGGACGTTCTAAAAAAAAAAAAGTTACATGTAACATTTGCACTTTCATTTTATTTTAATGAAAGACTGTTCTAAGCAGGATTAACACAATATATAAAGTAACAGTGCTGCCATATTAGTGGTGGTTGTAACAGATGCAATTCAGTTTCTTTTCTCTTTGTCTACCACTGTAATTAGCAATCTTTGAAAACGATGTGACCTAAGATTTTATTGACCTAAAAGAGGTAATTCTAGCTTGGATTGACCTGCCTTATTTGATGAATAACAGATAATGTATTAAAAATGCATACAATAATGCCATTGATAATTTAAACAATAAACAGACAAAAACCTTTGTAGTTCCTACAACTGCTGCAAATCCAAACAAAACGTGATATGATGTGTTGAGAGCAAGGGGGCCCTGAAGCTGTCTGAAGGGACTAACAGAGTTGAACATGAATAGAACATGAGAGAGTAAGGACACATGAATCAAAATACACAAGGTTTCATAGCTGCCTATCCCTCTGTTGTCTGTTCTAGGGAAGATCAATACAATTGTTTGTACTTTTGTTTCCTAGTGATGACTTTATTTGTTGTGTTCTTTCATGCTTTACAAATGGGAGGAAATTCAGCTGACAATGTATGTATTTATATTTCAGTGACTAGTAGCAGATTAATGTGTGTACAAATTATTTGGGGGATGGGGGACATGAACCTTACCGACAGCACAAGTGTCTAAATCAGTAGTGCCCCATACCATTGATATTTGTACAAATGATCTGTTAGTTGTGATTAAATGACTGAGTGAGTGATTTAGTGTGTGGTTATGTATGCATGATGGTATGGGTACTTCGGTTTTGCACACATACACTTTCTTATTAAGCATAAATAAAAACATAAAAACTATCTTTGCACTAAAATCATTGGTGTGCTTGGGAATTATTTGTATTCTATGACGGTTATGGACCTGGTGATGGAACAAGTCTTTCCCTTATATCACCCTGCTTGTTTTTTTTCTGCATGCCACACTAAATTAACCTATACCAGTTGAGCATTGGCTATAATATTTTTTGTACATGTTATCCACAAATTAAATATAAAAGATAAAAAATATGCAAATTTGTCACAAAGACTGAGATGTGGAATTTTTCCAGATTAGCTTTTTCCTCCTCAGTTTTGCCATTTGGATTTAGTTGGGGAAAATGTGGATTCTATTCAATAACCCTGTATGTATGTGTGTGTGGTTCATTAGGTGTGTGAGCCTCAGAGTTACTTTTTAGGTATCATTGTTAGTGTGGTTAATAAGATGTCTGAGATTAATTCAAATCTTAATTGGTTCCTAAAGTTTGACTATAGAGTTTAGTTTGCTCAATTCAGATGACTGAATTTAGTAACTAATTAGACTATAATTCTTCAAAGAAAAATGTCTGAATTAATTTGAACTGGCGTGAATGAACCAAACAATCCACTAACAGAGGCCAGACAGGTCACTAATGTCCCAACGTGACTTAATACAATACTACATAATTATGAACTTTTACTTTACCAAACCAGCACAGACTGGAAGTGCCATGGGCACTTCAAATTCACATGAATGTTTTAAACTACTCTTAAAGGGATTCTACAGTGTATGCAATACAAATATGTATAACGTACACTATAGAGCCCCCTGGTCTCCCCCCACAGCGGTTAAAGGGTTAAAAAAAAAAACTTTAGTCACTTACTCTGCGGTGAGACATTAAGCCGTCCCCTTAGAAAAGCATTGCTTTAGTGCTTTCCTATGGAGATTTCCTTATGTAGAGCGTGAGGATGTCCACCGTCGTTGTGGCAACCTAAAGTTGGTTAGCAAGCAGGAAGTGCCTCTAGTGGCTGTCAGAAATTGCAATGATTTACATTGTAGGACTAAGTGGGACTGTGACATTGCACCCAGACCACTTCAATGAGATGAAGTTGTAAAGCGCTACGGAATCTGTTGGCCATATATAAATGGCGATAAATAATAATAATGAAGTGGTCTGGGTGACTATAGTATCCCTTTAACCCCTTAAGGACCAAACTTCTGGAATAAAAGGGAATCATGGCATGTCACACATGTTAAACACTTGGGGTTAAACACTTTGACAGCTAACTGCTGCATGGCACCATAACCACTACAGCTTGCTTTATTTCTTAAAAAAATTCATAAATAAACGATTTGAAGGCACACCTCACGTAAAGTAAATATATCTCTCTGGTCATCAACCATTCTATACTAGTGGATGTGTAAATGCATAAGGATGTCCCCCCCCAAATCTCCTGTACACTGTGGGCAGCCCTGTGACACAGACAGTAGCCCAGTGACACAGACATTTGCCCAGTGACACAGACATTTGCCCAGTGACACAGACAGTAGCCCAGTCACACAGACAGTAGCCCAGTGACACAGACTGTAGACAGTAGCCCAGTCACACAGACAGTAGCCCAGTGACCAATCACACAGACTAGTAGCCCAGTGACACAGACTATGTCATGTGAGCTAAAGAATGTGAAAACATAAAGAGCCATCCATCACCATGGAAACCAACAAAATGCTTCTGCACTGATCCACCTTTACCACGTTCCCCCATAATGTCTATTTACATGAAATGATAGTAACATACCCCCCCGTGTAACTCGGTGTAAGGGTTTGTGTGTATATATATATAAAGCATTGCTTGCCCAGTGATTGCAGAGTGTCACCTCCTGTTTGAGTCCCGGTTACCAGGCAGCAGATGCTCCTTGTTGTGATGTGTCCGGGCAGTTTGGATAATGGCCGCACTGGGCTCTGGGCTCTCCTCACTGTATTGTCTCTGCTGAGCCCAAGTTCTCCCCAGTCTGTGCACCCAGCAAAGCCCCCCGTACTGCAACTAGGCACAACCTAGGACCTGACCGCACTCCCACTGCCTCCTGAGTACGGGAGCCGGGAGGGACAAACTGCTGAGCGATTATACAAACGCGCTGGCAGAAACCTGTAACTGTGCTCTGAGTGAATGATAGAGATAGTCACATACTGTGTGCTGCACGCTTATTTACCACACTCAGCAATCATTGTTGGGGTTTTATCTTGTGGGGGAGGTGAATGTCTAAGAAACTGAATGCAAAAGAACAAGTTTTATTGAATTTAGTGCTTTGCTAAATTAAATAAATACAAAAAAAGTGTAGAGAAAAAAAATTAATCATAAAAAATAAAAAGACAGGACCATGAGGAAACAGCCATAATAATTACTGCCCTTTGTAGTGGTATTGGTTATAGCATGTGCTGCTTACCCCAATGTTTGTTGCAGGAAAATGCTAAAAAATAAATAAAATGCAATGTCATTGGAAGTTCCGACGAAATCTAGATGAATTTAAAATGAGGAGTATATTGCACTCTTGAGAATCTCCATATTAATGAACAGGAATAAACCTTGCAGTTGAAAAAAAAATGGTGCAAAAATATAATAGAAAAACAACAGGCAGTAAACAAAATAATGTACAATGATACTTAATTCAACCTCAGGCAAAACAAATAAACGGGGGACATCACTAGGACACTACGGGTTTAACGTCTAGCAGGAGACGCTTCTGTAGCAAAGGTGTATTGATTTGGTGCTTTACAGATCTTCATATAAATGAAATAAATTTAAAAAATTGGAAGTGTAGAGAAAAAAAATAAATAAAAAAGACAGGAGCTTGAGGAAATAATCAGCCATAATAATGACGGCTCTTTGTAGTGGTTTTAGTAATAGCATGTCTCCCAAGTATTATTGGATGTGGCAGACCATCGCCAAATCTTCCAGGTTTCCTGCTTCTAGGGACACTAAATACAAACCAAAACAACCTGACTGTATGCTAACTGTACCCAGACCTACAAAACGGATTCAAAAGCGAACTGCACATGGGCGACCTTGAGCAGGGCTTGCCACCACAGCTGCCAAGATAACACCACTCCCTTTCTGGGTATCCACCAGCGGCATGGCTAGGGTCATAAAATACCCGACTCTTGAGTCCAAAACAAAATTTGGTGAATCCTCCTCACACCTGGTCTGTCACAAATTCCAACCATTTAACAACTACAATATTTGACCCTCATCACCCACAGCTGGATACTTACAGACACACACGATAAGACACACAAATTCAGAGTTGCATACAAAAAGACATAACAACACATATACACCAACTTGGGATCTGACCAGAAGGAGCTGGGATAAAGATTACACCCTCACGGGCCAAAGGTAAGGCTCAGGGAAGGTGCAATAAATCCTTTCATATTTTTTTTTCACAGCTCCTACCACCAACATATGCCCCTTTGTGATGGGTTTCCAGCATGGTCAAAATTTATTAGGCCAAAATCTCCATGTGGCATATGTGTATGTTGTGTCAGTTGGTTAGCTACATGTAGCTAGGATACTGTCATCAGTGTACTGAGCATGTGCAGGAATGCAGGAACTGAAATTGCACTTATTTCCTTTGTCTCGGATGAGCCATGTGGTTTGACTAGATGTACAAGTCTATAGTCTGCTCATTGATTGGTTAAAGGTATATGTGGGTGTAGCTATTAATGGGAGGAGTTATAGTGCTATATAAGGAATGTACACTATGTGTTGGTCTCTCAGAATGTTGGAACAGGAGTTCATCTGAGACCCGATCGGTAATGTGAATAAAGGCCTGTTACTTCCTGAAGACCTGTGTCCAATATTTCTGTGTTTGGCTTCTGCATGCTTACACTGCAACACCTTTACCCCACCATAGAGCCTATACCTCCCACATTCAAATGACACAGGATTTTAGTACCACTGCGATAGCCATTAGAGTGCAAGCTCATATGCTACGTGAAGGTAAACCGCCTGGGAAATTCTTACACTAACATTTTGCATTGCTGCTCTCAGCTAAAGGGCAAAACCTCCAACAAGACAGAAAGGATACTCTTATGGACCCCTACAAATGAATGAACCCTTAGTAGTGCGCATATGGAAACTCTCTCCAGACGGCACAGTGCGAGTGCATCATTAGATTCGCTGGCGCTGTGGGGCTGGCACCAAGACCATGCAGAGATCACTTCAGCATGGTTATTTTTGACTGACAGGCTCCTTTAGTGTTTGGGCCCGTCCTTTTTTTTGGGCGGACTCACCCATTATGGGAATCTCTGGTGATGAATCACTGATGACTTCTCCCTCCAGGGCCCACCACCCTGTTTTGATTGCATACCTCCCAATCTTGGGAGGTAAGCCTCAGCCAAAAAGGTCCAAATACAGGTGAAATTGATGCCATTAATGACTAAGTAGGAGCTTCGGCGTAGTTATATCGTAAGAGAAGTTCCTGGGGGACCAGTTTCAAACCATTTGCATGAACCCATATCAGTGGTATTTAGCTTGCTATGGTAATTATTCCTTCTTTGAGATTAGTAGAAGGGGAAGCATAGTTACCTTTACCCTAGCAGGGTTATTCACGGAAGTCAGAATTCAAAGTGAATTCAAAGTGACTTTCAAATTTAAGGCCAAAGTAGCTGACTTCCTGGCTTAGCGATTTATTCCCAGTTTGGTTACATTGGGTTTAAATTTGAAATTCAGTTTGAATTAACTTTGAATTCTCACTTTAGTGAATGACCCTGTCGGCTTATGACACATACCAGGATTTGGGGAAATCGATTAATTCCAGTCAGACGAATTTTGAAATTGACCTGGATCCCTTGCACCACTTTAAATATTATGAGTTGAGGTCAGTATGCGGTGCTCGTGATTACATGGGCTTCTTTATAACATTTTTCATATATACCAATTGAATACAAAACAAACAGCAGACAGACAGAATGTATGAGCAGCAGATTTTTATTAATTGTTTCTCTTTTCTTTTTCTCTCCTCCGGACTTTGAATGCTTTAAAAGTGAATCCCGTCACCTCTAGTGTGATTTGTTCTCGATGCCCGAGAGCAGAAGGCGCTGTCAGTGATTAATCCAGTCACTGACACAAATTATATTCTGTCAGCACTACCTACTGTACCGCTAATCCTTTTGTAATTTGTTCTTGTTGGTTGTTTTTAAATCTCGTTTCCCCTTCTTCGGTTCAAAGAATTCCTCTGATCCAACATATTCTTTGTTACTTACATTTCCCTAAACCCCCCCCCCACACTATTGTGAACCTTATATACCTTCCTCATTTTCAAACAGCACCAACATGTACTAACACACTCTCCCACCTTAAGTGAAAACACTGTCCCAACAGTTCAAGACGTTTGTCCTCTACTCATATCATACTCCACCCCACTCCTTCTATGTTCAAACAACTCATTTCACAAATTTAAAAAAATCAATATGAGACTTAAGTACACTTTTTCTTTGGATTTATTAATTATATTTTACAGAATTTATATTATTTTACAGTTTTTGCTACAGCGATAAAAGACCTAGAGGGTTCAAAATCTATCTTGAAAATCATGACATATTTGGCCAGAAAGTCGCCAAGATGTGGGGTACCTCTGGACTCACGAAGAGTCATCCTTCAGCACCCAGGAAAGGAAAAACCCCCTGTGGAGGAAACCTCTGGGGAACCATGGCTTGAAGGATTGCCCTTCCCTCTGGGCATTAAGAGGCAGGTGCAGACAGTGTTTTAGATGCAGAGCATGATCTTTTGATGCACAGTTTAAACTGATAGACAGACATACAGATGGCAGAGGGGGAAAGACAGACAAAAAAAACACACAGACAGACAGATAGACAGGCATACGGATCAAGAGATAAACAGAAAGATGAACTATTTCAATCAATACGCAGACAAAGAGATGATAGGAAAGAAGACAGACAGGCAGGAAAAGAGACAGATCGGCAAGCAGAACAACATTCAAACAGAAAGATATACTTGCAATAGGCACATTTCCTCTTCCCTTCATGTTACAATGTTCCCAATGCAGCTTGAAAAGCGAAAAATTATGTTCATTGTCTTTGAAGAAACTCCAGCATTTGATGAAGGGTAGTTGTGCAAAATATAACGCTCCTTTGCTAGATCCTCCATTGGTCCAGATCAAATTAAGGATAGTTAAGCTCCAAATCTTCAGAAACATCCAGTTGAGGCATAGATGCCTATGCCATTGTGATGGTACGACACCTCTCGATACAGTGTGAAGCTCTGTCATAGCCTCACATACATCTGGAAGGTTAGCAGAATGTTCAAGCAAAAGTAGCAGCCTAACATTTATGACATCACAACATGACATCACCTTCTATGATATCACTGCTACAGATCAGTTTTCCTAAGTAGCAGGGTAGACAGGTAGAAGGGAGAATGTTTCAAATTATACATCAAAAAGGTGACTGCGATAAAAATAGAAAAGGTGTCAATAAATATCCTTTTGATATCAATTTGAAAAAAAAACAAACATTGCAATGTCCACTGCTTACTGACCATTTGAACCCTTTAGAGATAAGATATGTGTTATTACTGTCAAAGCTGCCAATAGGGAATAACAGACGTGACTGATTTGCCCATGCACCCCTAGCCACTCCTTCATTAAAAAAGTGCGCCTCTTTGGTCATTTAAGAATTTTGAATGGTATATTTATTTTTTTCCAGCTATTACAAATCAATAATACATTTTGCTCTTTCAACTTACAATTTCCATTCCACCTAGTAAGTAAATCATGTACTGTGTCCACTCCTATTTTTTTTTTAATAAAAATTTTTTTTTCAGTAATTGTTAGCTTCAGACATACAATATATAAATAAAAAAGTCCAATTGCTCTGAAAGCCTGTTAATAAGTGACCAAATCAATATATCAACATTAGTGATGTCGCGAACCGTTCACGAACTTTCTGCGAACGGCTCGCCGCGGTTCGTGGCGAACTCCGGTCAGCTGACACATCCCGGCCAATCTCCAGCAGACCCTCCCTGCCAGACCCTCCCTCGTTCAACTGCCTTCAACATGGATGCTGTCCAGGAGGTGGGAGGGTCTGGTAGGGAGGGTCTGCTGGAGATTGGCCGGGATGTGTCAGCTGACCGGAGTTCGCCACGAA